AGATCCCAACTGCCAGGTGCCGCAAGGGCCCCAAACCCTCATCCGTAAGCCCTATTATAGGGGCCTCAATAATTTCCAATACTATTTTGGGGTTCCTTTTTATACGTATAGTATAACGGGCCCCAAAACCCTATTCTAATTATGAAGGCCGCTATGTTATACACCTTACACTTGTCATACACCCCAATCAACCCCCGAAACCCCAACCCCCTTCAAGCCGAAGACCTAAGTCATCATCTCGAAGCCCTGAGCCCTACCCAAGCCCTCAAAGACCTAAACCTAAGCTATGAACTCCCAAACCGCTGGCCCCAACTCTGCTTAGATCCAATATACACAACCTTTTAACTTTTTGGGTTCTTGTAGTTTAGTAGGAATCGGAAAGTTTAACCTTTCAATTCTGTGGTTTATTGGGGTAGTAAGTCTAACCCACCGGACCTTCCAAAATCCCTTCATTTAAGGAATATGCCTTAAATCATGTTAGGAACCCTACTATACCTATAGGCTCATACCCTACCCCATTTTTTAAGGTATCTACTTATCTATATAGGAGATCCTAACCATAAAACTAGATACCTTAAAAAAGGGGGTAGGGTATGACCCGCCAGGAAGAGCATAAGCCCCCAGCCTAGTAGACCCTAAACCCCCCATAGATCCCTTATAGAATTTTCTAAGGAGCCCTCTAAGGATCCCGCTAAGGGTACTAGGAATATATGCCTTAAATCATGTTAGGAACCCTACCCCCAGAAGGTCCAAGTATCCAAATAGTAGGGTTGAGGCCCCAAAATCCATACTCTGAATGGTTTTTGGACCTGAAAACCCTACTATTTGGGTACTTGGACCCTTAGGGTACTACAAGGTGACGTCCGGGCCTGGCTATTTTAACCAAATAGGGGCCCTAAACTTGGAAACCCAATCCTATATTGTAATCCCCAAAAGGAACTACGATGGAGCCCCTGGGTAAAGACCAGAACAGGCTGAAGAACCCGGTATCTACGTTACTTCCTAGATGGGCCGGGGGATTTACAGTAAGGCCCGTGTCTCATAGAAGCCTTATGGCAGCCCTTTCAAGGAATCCCTTTGAAGGAAACACCCGTATAGTAGCCCTTTAAAGGAGCCCTTTAAAGGAACACGTCTGATCTTGCAGAACCCTCATAGTAGCCCTTTAAAAGAACCCTTTAAAGGAAACACCCATGAGAGGCGCCAGGCTCTTTGGGAGGACCTTTGGATGCAGCGGCCTCTGCCGGAAGGCTCGAGACGACCCAGACCTTCCAAAATCCCGTAATGAAGGAACATGCCCTCAATCATAATAGGATTTCCAAAATCCTGTAATTAAGGAATATGCCTTAAATCAGAGTAGGATCCCGTTCATGATTCAAGGTATATTCCTTGTTTAAATCATAGTAGGATCCCTTTAGTGAGTTAAGGAATATACCTTAAATCATAATGGGATCCCTGTTATGAGTTAAAGTATATTCCTTCATTAAGGGATTTTGGAAGGCTCGAGACGATGCGGCTCCTCTTGGAAGCTCGAGCTGAAACTTGGCCCATTCCGTAATTTCCCTAAGGGTCCATGTACCCAAATAGGGTTCCTTTAAGGGGATCTTTTAAGGGTTACTTTACGGGTGCCATAAGGGTCTTAGAAAGTGAGCGTCCGTGCTCCCAGACGATGTAGACCTTGGCTTTAAAGGTTTAAAGTAGTCACAATATAGGTGTTTTGCGGCGAAAGTATATATTATTTGGGTATAAGAACCCTTACGGTTTACTATTCTGATAATGGCAACAATAGCAACATTTTAAAGCAAATCCTCGTCATCATCACCATCGTCGTCGTCATCTCGTCATCATCATGCTCAAAATCGTATCGGTCATGCTGTATTCTGAGGGATACTTTTTGCCTGGCTCTGGGGTTTATTGGTTTAGTTCGTGTGTTTTACCGTTTTTGTGGTTTACAGCTTAGGCTTTGTAGGGTTTAGGGTGTAGGGTGCTTTCGGTGGTATGGTTTACGGCTTAGGGTGCGTTTAGCGGTTTAGGTTTGCGCGCAATCCACAGGGCCCATCAGCCAGATCCAACTGGCTTGTGTTGGTTTGTTGTAGGGTTTACCTATAGGCTCATACCCTACCCCTTTTTTAAGGTACCTACTTTTCCATATATATATATATATATATATATACGAGATCCTAACCATAAAACTAGATACCCTAAAATTAAAAAAGGGGGTAGTTTATGACCCTCCAGGTATGGTTTAATGTTAGTTTAGTACCGGGGCCCATGAGCCGGGACTTGTTAGTTTTTCTTCCATGTTGGCTTCTCAACATTTTATCCCGGGGTAAAAGGACGGATCCTTGGTAAGGACCCCTAGGTATATACCCTTAATATAGCCATTATATAACCATTATATAGCCATTATACAGCCCATTATGGGGCAGGGGTCCCCATTAAGGGTCCCTCCTTTTCCCCTTTGATTTTATGCAGGGCAGATCAACGGAACCCAAGATTTTACACAGGGCACATCAACGGAACCAAGGATATGGAACATCGCGGTGTTTTCGGGGAGACTCCTTTGTCCGTGGCATGCTCTATGGGACAACTCAGAGCAGCAAAGATCCTGGTTGCGGAAGGTGCAAACTTGGAGGTCAAACGCGTCGGTGGCCAAACTCCTCTCTGGGCAGCTTGCCAACATGGCCGAGCAAGCGTCATCCGAATGCTTTTGAAGGCTAGAGCCCACATCAATGCGCTTGATGATCTCGGTATGACGCCATTGGCGACAGCATGCCACTGGGGTCGTCCCAGAGCTGCCCGCTTGCTTCTTAAGGCTGGGGCTGACAAAGAGCTTGCAGATAAAAATGGCATAACTCCTCTTGGGACCGCATGTCGATGCGGACAGCTGCATATTGTCCATTTACTACTCGAGGCCGCTGCAAATGCAGCTGCCCGGGATAATTTGGGTAGAAGCTGCCTCCAGCTGGCTTCCGGCAGCCACGGGTTGGCTATAAGGTATTTGATCTCGACACGCAAGTGGTCGCGCAGACTGCAGAAAAAGGCCAAAGAAGCCCTGAATCAGTTCTCAGAGGCCCGAACCCAGCCTTGTCCTTTTTCATGGTTCCCGCAAAAGAATAAACAGACCGACTAGCAGAAATAATTCCTACAAAGGGATATAGGTATAGGGCTCTGTCTATTATTTCTAAATGGAAAAGGGTGCCCGAACCATATCACAAAACTACTATAACCCTCTTCGTCATATATGAAACCTGTCTACATCCCAATCAATTAACAAAAGCCTGGTAAAGTGAATTTTTCCCAGGTGGAAGCTACAGTTTTTGTGGGTTCTCGACGTTGCATGTGACCGTTTCAAGCAAGTCAGGGCCTAAACGACAAGCCATGCACCGGCCTGCCCTGATTCAGCAAAGCACCGAGTTACCAAAAAGAGCCCCCTCTACCTATATTACATAGTTTCCATTGTAGTTTCTTTGTTGTGATAAACCAAATATATGATTCGGATCCTAAAAGGGAGCCAATAAAAGGAATTGCAATAGATCCTACAGGCAACGAGCCGTTCGGGTCCTTCATCGCGAGAGCTCCCCTTCCTCACAGCCCCCTGTTGCATTCATAGTCTACCATTACGTAGAGTATCAGGGGACTTAGTAAATTGTGGATATAAGTAACGTAGTTATAGATATAACTACTCATAACCCCAAGTAAGGTACTTATAACCTGACTTTCAAAGTCCCATGATCCTCCAAGTAGGGTTTAGAGATGAGGGATGTAGGATTAAGCATCGAAGATGTTGTTGCATGTCTTCGAGATCAAGCTGTTGCACGACGCTGAGACGCTGAGAGCATAGCCATAGACCGGGAAGCAGCACCAAGAGGAGCCAGTTAAAGCTGAAAGCTGGCCCTAGACAGTTGCATACGAAGCCCGAAACCCTAAACCCTACCCTATACCCTAAGCCATAATCCGCAACTAAGCCATAAACCATATAACGCGACCTTTTCAAGTGACCTCGAATACTTGGAGGGTCAGTACCGTGGATCTTAGTATGTAAGGTTGTAAGTACTTTCATTGGGGTGATAAGTAATTACTTATAAGTATAGTTACCTGATTCATAGCCCTAGTGGCTCAGTACCATGATCCCTTAAGCAGCCCTAAACCCTCCTTTATAGAACCCTTATAGATCCCTTTAAGAGCCCGTCTAGGAACCCTAGCTGCAAAGCCCCAAGATCCTGTAAGTCTTCTTGGGGGACCAGCCGAGACCAAAACCCAAGGGTCCATGTACCTGAAGAGTACATACTTTGGCCATAGAGTAGTCCCTATCTCGGTACTTTGGGGCCAAAGTGTATACTATTTGGCTACATGGACCCTTAAACCCTAAACCCCAAACCCTTACGGAACCCTTAAACCCCAAACCCTGAACCCTTAAAGGAACCCCTAAAGGATCCCTATTTGGGCACATGGGCCCTTGGAGGAAGTGGAGCTGCTACGGCCATCCGTGCGGCGCTGGCGCAATTGGGGAGCCACAATAGGGTTCCTTGAAAAGGTAGCTTTAAAGGGTTACTATAGGAAAGCGATCTACAAGGGTACTATAATATAGGGGGCTTAATAGTTAGGCTAGGGTTTTGCGGCCCGTTATCAACGGCTTAGGGTTTTTGAGAGTTTAGGGTTTAGGGCTTTGGGTTTAGGAATTGAATTTTGGGGCTTTAGCGCTTAAGGTTTAGGCTTTGGGGGTTTAGAGTTTAGGGTTTAGGGATTATGTAGGGTTTAGACTTTGCGGTTTTTAGGGCTTATAGGGCTTAGGGCTGAGGGTTTTTGCAGGCTTCTGGGGCTTGGGGTTTAGATAGTTCTTAGGGGTACTTAGAAATACTTTTAATTTTGGGTTATTATAATCCCTAAGAAACAGCGAAAATTCTAATTTTGCTAGGGTTCTAAGTTCAGTATAGACTTAATCAGCACGCGGACTTCCGATTAGTAAACCCTTCTCTCGGAATAACGATGAGAATAGGGATTCTAATTAATGTTGTACAACAACCTCAACAACCTCACAGAAGAAGGGTTGTTGATTATTATTCAGGGGTATACAGTAATTACCCTAAACCCTAAACCCTGAACTTGCAGGTTCAAGGCACTCATGAAAATGCGTATGACTATGATGCTCATTACTGTTGGCCTTACATCTCACAGCCCAAGCCCTGAAATAACCCAGATCCACTCGGACACTCCTTTGAAGAGCCCGTTTGGGAAGACTTCCTGCTTTTGGGTGGGAAGACCCGTTGGCTTTAGGGTTTGGGGTTTAGGGTTTGAGGTAAGGACAGCTCGCACCACGATCGCAGTTCTTGGAGACTGGGAGAACAGCCATGGCAACACAACTACAGGGTTCCGGAGTACCCTACTCCAATACTGTGTGTTGGGTCTATTCCTTGAAGGTAACCTTTATGACATCAAAGTCTATGTTTTTTCTCCCTGGCTACTTCCAGGTCCTTTTGCTGCGTCACAGCTGAAATCACCGAAACCGATGAAGTGGAAACAAGTGAAACAGTATCTAAACTAACTAAACCTTCAGAGCCTTACTAGTAAGCCTTAGACCCTGCAACCGCTCAAACCCTGCATTCTCTGATTTGGGAGTTTCCGAAAATGGGGGTACCTTATTTTGGGGTCCCGAGGATCTTATTATTTAGGGCACTATATTATATCAGGGTCCTCTATTTTCGGAAACTCCCATTTATCCATTTTAAGGTAAAATCAGGCTACACTCGAAGCCCTGAACTATAGACCCTCAATCCTCAACCCTAGACCACAGACCCCAAGCCCTAACACCAATCCCAAAGCCTAAACCCTAGCAAACCCCAAACCCGAAAACCTAAACCTCAAGACTCTCGAACCCTGTAACTGAACTTCTTATAGTAACTTTGAAAGACACCAAAGATTTGAATTTGCCATCCCATAGGCTTTGCTATTCATTGGGTACGGCCCCTAATCAGTAACAGTTGGATAATATTCACTGTATAGATATATAAGGCCCTTAATAGTAGCCCGATTATAGACTGTTACTGTATGGGGGCCGTACCCTAAACCCTAAACCCTAAACCGTTTAGGGTTTAGGGTTTAGGGTTTAGGGTATTCAACACCTTAATTTCAACTGCTACCGCAGAAGGAGCGGCCCCGGTACGCCGATGACGGTGGTACTCGACTGCAGCCAGGCCATCGCACCCTAACTTAAAGGATCCTGGGGCTTAGTAACTAGGGTCCCTTTAAAGGGTTCCTATAAAGGGATCTATGATGGTTACTATGAAGGGTTCTATATGGGTCTTGGGGGGTATGTAGAGGATCATGGGACTTGGTAACTACGGTTAGAAGTAAGGTAACGATACTTACAACTACTTCTACCCTCAATTAAGGTACATATAACCTTACTTACTAAGTCTCATGATCCTCTAAGCAGGGTTTAGAGATTTAGGTTTGGAGGTTTTGTGTTTTGGGGTAGTTGTCTAAACCCTGTTTAGGAGGCCAGACGAAGGCGGCACCAAAAATGATCCTAGAAGGGACCTCAATTTAGAGAACTAGCCTGCGATGTAAAACGTTCCTGTTCCGGAAAGGGGTTTAGGGCCTATTGGGTCTAGGAGTTGGGGGTTTATATAGGGGATTACTTAATTACGAACACTATGTTATGTTAAGGGCTCCTTCAGTTATTGAGGCCCTCACGGTAGGGATTGGGTTTTGGCGTTTAGGGTTCCGATAGGGTTTAGCCCGTTGGTGTTTGTTTAATCAAAGGGGAAAAGGAAGGACCCTTAATGGGGACCCCTACCCTATAATGGGCTATAATAATGGGTATATACTCGCTATATTAACTATATATACCTAGGGGTCCTTGTTAAGGGTCCCTCCTTTTTCCCTTGGATTTAAGGATTGGTATAAGGATCTCTTGAATGGTTCCTTTTAAGCGTCCCCTGCAGGGTTGCTATAAAGATGCCCATATGGCTTCCCATGAGGTTACTGTCTGAAGCCGTCGGCAGATGTGTCGGAAGATGGATTCTATTTTCCCTCTTTTGATGATTCCTTGCTAGTTGCCCCCCAAACCCTGCAAAGGACCCTATGTTGCAGGCCTGCAGCCCTGAACCTTCCCTAGACTTAATGCACCTAGTGTCTTAAGGCCGTTTGCTTCAAGGATACAAAAAGTAGTGTTAAAGGGTTCCTAAGGCTCTTATAGAGTAACTTAGGTTTTAGCATTTTCGGCTTTAGGATTTTAGGGTTTAGGATTTTAGGGTTTTGGGGTTTTAGGGTTTAGGATTTTAGGGTTTGGGGGTTTTAGGGTTTGGGGTTTAGGGTTTGGGGTTTAAGGGTTTAGGGTTAAAGGCCTTCAGCAGTGCTGGGGTCCATCTTGGCGGTTCTCCTTTGTAGATCCTCCCGACAGCTAAAACCGTAAGGGTAGGGGTTTAGGGGCTTAGGGGTTTAGGGGTTTAGGGGTTTAGTGGTTTAGGGTTTAGGGTTGTTGGGTGTGAAGTGCTGTTTCAAACTGCCTAAGATGAGCACTACAAGCCTTAACAAACCATGTCCTCAGTCCGGAACCCTTTATAAGGGATTTAGGGATATAGGGGCCCCAAGAAGGAGTTTCCAACTGTTAGGCTGCTACTGTAGATCCCTTAGCCCCTGAATCCCTATACATAAACCCCGTTATACCCTGAGCCCTTCAAGACCCGAGAATACCCTAAACCCTTCTAAACCGGTAAAATACCGACCATACACTGCATGAGTTCGTATGCCCTAAAACCTTCTAATCTAAACCCTTGCACAATAGAACCCCTGTAAGCCCTGAAGCGAAATCCAAGAGGCCAAGCAGGGAGCACTGGAGGCATGGAATCTTCAGCTGGTGGAGATTGGAAGGGGCGGCTTTTTTGGGTTTCGGGTATACGGCATAGGGTTTAGGTACTTGGGGGGTGGAGGAGTCGTGGAAGTCTTGGTTTTGGTTAGGATGTTTCAGGGTTTACCCATCGGCCCCATAGTAGTTCCTTTTATAACTTCATAGGATTCTAAATATCAACCCCAAAAAGGACCCACTATGGGGCCTATGGGTAGAGTCGGGTAGAGTTAACGAGTTTCGGATTTTGGATTTGGGGTTTTGGGGTGGCAGTATTCTGGGGTTTGGGAGGGTTTGGTTGAGTGTTCAGAGATTGGTGATTGGAGGTGGAGGCTGTTCAAGGGGTAGAACGTTTAGTTCACGGAATTTTGATCTCTCGGAGTTTCCGAGGTCATTTGAACACTCACAACATGTTTAAGGTTGCAATGCAAGGCCTCGAGGGCGCAGTAGAACCGGTGCCCGGTCGTCCGCTTTGATTGGTATTCAAGATCGTTCAAGTGCCTGGTGGCCCGTACTGAGACGGACTATCCGTTCATACGGCGCCTTCCGGCAGGTGTGGCAGGGGCACGGATCACGATCCGCCACTCCAGGGAGCAGCAGCACATCGTGGGGTGGTGCGCTGTCACCGGTGCACCCTGCCGGCGCGTCAGTCCTTGTGCCGCATTCCGATGACATGACCGATATGCGTCCAAAGGAGGTTTCGAAAGCCGAAGAAGACCTCCAGTTAAGCAGACTGCCAACACCGAGTTCCAGTGGTATGTGCAGTTTTCGGCGAGCATGACTCAGAAGAAAGGCTTGCATGACGACAGGTCGTATCCGACAGTCTTGCGCTTGATAGGTATCACGGTCAAGTCCTTGTTGCTGGCTGGAGGTGTCGCTCCTAGGCGCGTAGAAGATGTCGACAGTAAAGATTCGTTCTTCGCTCCGATTTCTTCTAATTTTCTTCGTAGTAGAGTAGGTGACCTTTGACCTTTTTGAGGTATGCGAATGTTTATACAGGGTTAGTTTGGCCTTTTAAGGAGGATGATAATTTTGTAAGAGTTAGCCTCCATAGCTTGTTTCGCTCAGGATACCCTAAACCCTAAAGCCCTAAAGTTAACCTCCATAGTTTGTTCCCCCAAGATACCGGGCAACGGAGGCTCAGTTCGGGAAAAGGGCTGGTAAAAGAACATAGGGGCCTGAATAGTTATGGTAAAGGGTTCCTTTAGGGGTACTAAAAGCGTAGTATAAGGGATTTAGGGATATAGGGATCTTAATTGATAATCAGAAAAGTGTTTTAATTGGGATCCATTATTTTATGATTATACAAAGGAACCCCCGAAATAGTAGAGGTATTTGTTAAGGCCCCTACAGTACAGGACCTGGTTCATGACAAGCCGATGGTCCACTGCAGAGGTCTCGGGGCAGGGGTAGTAGCTGAGGAGGGAAGCATGGATTGTTGCAGGATGCCTTCCGACAGCAGCTTGCTGAGCAGCTGGCGACGCTGCCCAATCAGGTCGGATCGGGATCCATGCTTGCGGATCTCAGACGTATTGTCATAGCCGTAAGGCTTTGGGATTTCGGGGTTACGGTAGTGTTTCATCCCCAACGTCAGCAACTCCATCTTCGCCTTCAGCCCCTTCTACTGTAATTCTCCATCACGAAACTCTGAACTATAAACCCATCTGGCTGGTTGTCAAAACTATGGTCCCTTTTTGGCCCCTAATATAGCACGGCACCGAATATTTAGGGTGCCCCAAAAAAAGGACCATAATTTCGACAACCACCCATCTGCACCTTAAGGCCGTAAACCTTGAACTCTAGACAAAAGTCAGGAGCCAAAGAAGCACCCAAACATAAACTTTCGGGTAGGATATCCCTATCTTCTTGTCTTAATTAAAGAGGGGATTCTGGGATATCCCAGCCTTATGGTTTTTGTTTAGGTCCTTTTCTGGGTCCCTAAAAAGGCTGAGGCCTCGAGCAGATCGAACGAAGAAGCCTCGAAGGCCCTCGACCTCTCAAGGGACACGGTTTTTGCCCCCCAAGCTTTCGGACGGCACAATGGTGAACCTCTTAAGCTCCACCCACCTTAGGGTTTAGGGTTTCGGGTTCCGCCCACCATGTCCAAAGCTACGTTCCAACCACGAGAAGAGTACAAGCTTGAATCCCTATGCTTGGTGCGGTTAGGGTTTAGGCTTTAGGGGGCTTAGATGAAGCTCCTTAACAAGAGCCCGGACACCGAAGCACAACGTACCGATACGGGATGATGTTTAAATTCCTTTATTGTTTAATGTAGAGCCCTAACTATCAACAATTTGGGGGACTGTTGAGCTCGACACCTAGTAGTATAAACCCTACCTGGAGCAGCTTGAGGGTAAGGTAGGCTTCTGAGTTTTTTGAAGGAGGGTTTAGGTTGTTGGGGTTCAGGGTTCAGTATTAGGGTCCCGATTGCATGTTGCGCACTTTGGGAGACCATGCCGGCTACAGCGGACAGCGCACTCGAGCATATCGAAAAGCCGAGGCCCCTTCCAGCGGTGCCCAAGGAACCCCGAGACTCCAATATCCCGTAGGTAGGGAAAAAGCCTTGAATTCTAGTAGGACCCCTTGTATGATTTAAGGAATTTCCGGGATATTGGAGGTCCCTAAGCCCTAAACCCTATAGATCCCTTAAAGGAAATCCTTATTTCAGGGATTATGGAGTCAAAAGATCCCTTATAGATCCCTTAAAGGAAGTCCTTAACTCAGGGATCTTGGAGTCTCTGGGGAAGTAGGGCCATGCCACGATGTGGCCAGTTCCAGTCTGTCGCAAGAGGAAGACGTTGCGCCACTGTCGGTAGTTTTCTGGTACTTGGAGGATGTGAGTAAGGTTCACTCAAGCGTTCCTGTAAGGGACCTACAGGGGTTCTTTAAGGATTCTATACGGTTTTTTGGGGGTACTTAAGAGGATCATGGGACTTAGCAAGTAAGGTTATAAGTACCTTAATCGGGTTTATAAGTAGTTATAAGTATTGTTACCTTACTTAAAACCCTACTTACTAAGTCCCATGATCCTCTAGGTAATTGTGGTTGCCTCTACATTTTAGCATAGAATGTTGCATTACACCATATTCTGCTCTCGTTAGAGCATCGCCGTACTATTTTGCAATATAGCCATAGGCCTCATAGTAGTTCCTTTTTGGGATGACCTTACAGGATTCTAACAAAAGAACCCCGAAAAGGAACTACTATGGGGCCTATGGGTAGCTCATTAAATTGAGTTGTGGTTGTGCGCGGCAACTCCACGGTCTCCTATTCCACTGCAGCCCTGGAACACCCTGTTCAGCCAGGGACTCCAATATCCCTTAATTAAAGAATCTGTTGTAGTTGTTAATAAGGATCCCTTGTATGATTGAAGGAATATTCCTTAATTAAGGGACCTTGGATTCTCTGGATTCAGCCAGGATGCACTGATTGAGTCCATGGTGGAGGCCGTATGTACTGCCCATCCGGAGGTGGGATCAGGGGTTTCGGGCTTTCGGGCCTTAAGGGTACGAGCCTCCTAGCCTGGACACCCCAGCTACCTTAAACCCTAAACCCTATAAGCCCCAGGCCCTAAACCCTTTGTCCTGAAACAATAGGGCACTTTTGGGAGTTTCCGAAAATTAGGGGTACCGTATGCTGGGGTCCTTATAATAAGGATCCGACTATTTGGGATACTATGTTAGTTAGGATCCCCTATTTTCGGAAACTCTCGAGGGGGTCTAGGACCCAGAGTAAGCCCTTATTCCCTTTTTTAGGGTTCAGGTTCCCTTATAACACCCTTTACAACAGTAAAGGCACCATTCTTATTCCTAGGTTACTCTTGGTTGGGTCTAGTAGAGAGGGACTTCGAGGCTCGATTTGGGTGCGCTTTGTTTTTTACGGTTCAAGGGGTTCAGTGTCTCGAGGGTTCAGGGTTTAGGGGTTCAGGGTTCAGGATTTAGGAAGTGCCGTAGTTTCGGAAGGTACTAAGAGACTCCACGACTCCAGTATGCCTGACTTAAGGAATATTCCTTAAACCATATAAGGGATCCTACCATAATTTGAGGTTCATGGAGTCTCTCTGAGTACCTAGATGTGAGCCATTGTGGTTTGTTTTTTTCTGGCCTGGTTCCGAGGTGGGAGTTCTGAAAACTACTACGACACTTTAGGGGTGGCTTGTCACAGTGACCCATTCTTCTGGGAACCGAAACAGGGATAACGGCCATAACGGAAAGAAGTCTTAAACCCAAAACCCTCAGACCCGGTCAAGAACGAGGTGCTTGGGTTTAGGATGGTAGTTATGTAGGTTACTATCATAAGGTACTTGGACCGTTGGTGGAATGCTTGGAATAAGCTTCGGGCCGTCGGGGGTAAGAAGGTGGCCGAAATAATTACCAATACTGTTTGGGGGTTTCCTGTTTACAATCATAGCATAATGGGCCCCCACACCCCATTCTAACTACTATCCAACTACTAAGCCCCCCTATATAACATGATACTATATTTCATCCCTATATATATATATATATATATATATACATATATATATATATATTCGTGCTGAGGAACCTCAGTCTAGTTACTCAGGTGGGTTGTATATAGGGCATGAGCAAGGCATAAGTAAGGCAGAAGCAAAGTGGTAAGTACAGTCGCACTGCTCATTTGGTAATCCCTGATCGAGCCCGGAAGTTAAGACATCTCAGGACCCGCTCCGGAACAAAATTTTGGGCCCTACTTATAGTCTCCATTGTAGTTCCTATGGTTTAACCAATTATATAATTAGGATACTATAAGGTACCCCCAAAAAGGAACTACAATGGAGACGATAGGTAGCAAGCACCCAGAGTGCAACGCAACTTTCACTTTGGGGCCTCTGGGCCGAATCCTGTGTTGGTGTCCTCCAGCAGGTATCCGAATCGGCCAGTGATGGTGTCTTGCCAAGAGTTCAAGTCACCGGCGTCGAGATCAGGTCGCTGACAAGCTGAGAGGAGCAGCTGCAGACCTGGAGTCAGACCGAAGCCTCATCTTCAACTTACGAAGAAAGAGGCAAGGTTGGCATCTGCTCGCCGAACCTTGCTTGTCCTGCGATGGTTACCCGCCAGAGGCTTGCAACTTCGCAACAAGTCGCAAAGCACCACTCGCTGCCGCATCTCGACTGACACCCGCTTGAAGTAAGCATGAACACACCCCTTAAACCCCAGAAGCCAAACATGTAAAATCCCGAGAAACACCAGCGACTAAAAACTCTAAGTTCCAAAGCCTATGGGAGCTCGGCAGAAAGGCCGATGGGGCCCTGATCGCCTCCTTGACTGGCGTGGCGGGCCGCCGAGGGCTCCGGGGCGCCGTGCCATCGGGGACGGAGGCCTGAAGTTTAGCGTTATTTAGGGTTTATAGGGGTGTAAGGGGTTAGGGGTTTGGCATTTGGGGTATTCGATTTACCAAGGACCCCCTGTGCCCTTCATTAGAGCGCTTCAGTGGGTATTTAGGGTCTATCGGAGGGTCGTGGAGGGTAGTTGGGGGGTGCAGGGTTTGGGGTATAGGTGTATGTAGGGCTTTGCGGTTTGAGGTTTGTTGGAGGGAGTATAGGGTTTCGGGTGTAGGTAGTTTAGGGCTGGCTGACGGCATGTGATGATATTGGGGCTGGTAGCAGGAGCTGTCCTTGCAGCAGTGGTAGCTTTACAGCGGCAGAACCACCAGCAGCAGCAGCAGCAGCGGCCGAAGTAGCAACAGCAAAACCCTGAACCCCCTTAAACCCTAAACCGCAAACCCCTATATACCCAAAAACCCTGAACCGACCGTCACATCAGGTTCTGGCCGTTCGAGAGCTCCTTGACAAGCGGCCGTCAACACCGAAGCCCCATGTCTGCAAGCAGATGTGGCATTTCAAGATAAGGGGCCGGTCAGGGTTTAGGGTGTTTAAGAATGGTTTCTAGGGTTTTGGGATTTAGGGTCTTAGGGTTTAGGAGCGTAGTAGCTGAGTGGGTACACTTTCCACTTTTTTGGGATAATACTACCCACTCTAAAACTGAAAGCGTACGCTTTTGGGGGCTTATGAACTCAGCAACTAAGGGACGGTCAGGGTTTAGGGTTTAATTATGGTTTTGCAGGGTTTAGGGATTTAGGGTTTAGGGTCTTAGGGTTCAGGAGCTCAGGGCTTGAGGTTTAGGGTTTAAGATTTGGCATTAGACTTATTTGCATTTTATGGGATCTTGCAAGAAGGATCCCATTAGATTCAGCCTGGGTTTGCTCAGACCACTGTCATTATGTGGGAGTTTCCGAAACTAGGGGACCCTACTCAGATTAGTAATCTAGTACCCTAAATAGTAGGATCCTTCGTATAAAGGACCCCAAAACAAGGTACCCCTCCCCCAATTTTCGGATATCCCCATATGAGCTGCGGACTGCAGGAGATGCAGCTTCTGACTCAGAAGCTCACATGCCCTCTCGGCCCAGGAACCATGTAGACTCCGCAACTCAAGACCTAAGACGCCCGCACTCACCTCAACCCTAAACTCTAGACACCCTAAACCCTAAACTCTAAACTCTAAACCCTAAGCCCTAAATCCTGAACCCCAAACTCCAAACCCTAAACCCAAAACCTGCAGGCCCTCCTAAACCCTGGGCCCCAAACCCCAAAGCCCAGCCCAGGGCTTGTTGTAAACCCTAAACCCCCCAAATCCTGGCCCCCCCAACCCCCCATGAACCCAGAGACTCCAAAACCCCTGAATTAAGGAATACACCTTAAACTTTAAGAGGGTTAATATTATGATTCAAGGTATAACCCCCTTATGATTCAAGGTATATTCCTGAATTAAGGGGTATTGGGCTCTCTGGGTAAACTCTAAACCCCCAAATCCTAGCCCCGAAGCCCCCTGAAGCCGGACAGGCTTATCGCCTTAGCCTCGGGGCACCTCGCGAATTTGGCACGGGCGGCCCCCAGCCGAACCGGAGCTGCGTCGCTTTGCATCGACTGGAGATTCTAGATGCCTCTTCGTTTTTTGCTAGAGGTTTTTTATCGAACATGTATTCCTAGAAAGTTTACCATACCGGTTCGATAAAGGCTTCAGAATTTAGGTTCTGAGGGTTTTTTGTTGCTCCAGTGGCGTTAGGGGTTTAGGTTTCGTGCTTTTGTGATTATGTTTTGGGTCACGTGGCTGGAGGTCGACTCAGTTGGTGCTTTGGTATCTCAGTGTTTGGGGTTTAGGGTTTAGGTTTAGGGTTCAGTGTTTCGGGTTTAGGGTTCAGTGTTTAGGGTTAAGGTTTAGGGCATCAGCACCTATCATGACTTTTGCCAATCAAGAGAAGAACTTATATTTCGATGCCGTCCTTACGTTCACAAAGTGTGCCAGGCCCACGGAACTCGGCACGTTACCGCCAAAGTGAGTATGCACAAGTCTTCAAAGCCTCTCTGATTCGGGCGACATATCAGCAATAATTTGCAACCTTCGTCGATTAACCGACTGGGTTATGGTCCGATTATAAGCACGATATATCTTGAACCTTCAGGGACAGAGTAAAGCCCAAGCCCCACTTCCGGGGATCTTGATGCGCGGCACCTTAGTTTGCTTCAAGCCTAAGCTCAAAAGAGCTCTGAGACGTCATCGCCCTTAACCCCAAAGCACCAAATTATTGCGGCAGCGGAGCAGAGCATTTAAAGCAAAGAAGTTCCTGAACAAAAGAACCGAAAACACATACATACATGTATGTATATATATATATATATATATATACAGAAAGCGTCGCACTGCAGGCCCGAGTTTTGGAGCTTTCCCTTTTTCCATATTGTAACCTAGGATTGTGCAAGAGTGTTGCATTTATTTGTTTACAGGAAAAAATACTGAACAAAGAAAAATGTTATCTGGTTGAAAGCTCCTGTGGGAATAACGGGCCTGGATAGTGTCTGCAGCATTAGATAGCCTAAACCAAGGGGCCAAAAAGCCTGGAGTCCGTGGCCTCGGCCCTGGCCCTGCGCCGGGGGGGGGTGGGGGGGCAAAAAAAAAAAACTACAAAAATATATTTTTAGTTTTTTGTGTTTGTTCTTTTCTTTTTTTTTGCCCCCCCCCCCCCTCCCCAGTCCCCTCCCCAGTCCAAGGACCTCAAAGTGCAGCCCTTCTGAGGCCAGAGCCAGGCCTACGGACCAAGCCAGTGAGTTTCAGTAATTATACAAATCTGTAAAGCCGTCAGACCGTAGGCTAAGAAACAAGATCATAAATCCACCTAGACTCAGGACCGAGGAGAAACCTCATACAGATCTTCATCTCTATCATCCACCCCTACGAGACATATCAAGATTGCAACATAAGGTTATAGGTATTATAATAGATACCACCTCTTGCATGATCCATATGTAGACCTTGTCCATGCATTCCTGGGTATGTTTGTAGATACGTGTGTCTATGTGATCATTCAGCTTGACAAGGCGCATGACATCGTACATGTGATTGTCTACATATATATATATATATATATATAAACGGAGGAACCATGCATTTAACTGTCGTGAATGTTTGCGTAATAAAATATATATATGTATATATAAGTTGCACTTAGCATGTATGTCTAAGTATGTTTATCCTATGAATATCATACAACAATGATTAGAACCAGGTCGTCGAAAGTTACATGTTTAATGCCATTGTCGGTTCATGTCTAACTACATATGTGTTATCATGTCAAATCTACAATATACACATATATATATATATATATATCGAAAAACATGTACGGTAGTGACAGATGTGCAGCTTGATAGGGATAGCTCAACCATCGATTTGGTATGTGTACACATATACACACAGACGCGAATCTGTTGCGGCCTTAGGGTTTAGAAAGTTGAAGGCTTCTGCAACCCCATCACAATGTTGTGCTTTTGGGTGAAACACTCGGTTTATCATGTTTTTTACTGGGTGATTGAAAATTACATTATCAGACATGATGCATGCATTCCCCAAAACATGCATAAGCCCTGATACGAGATGATAGATGACAAACCCAATCTTTCGTTCGGACCACGGTTCAAACTGCGGAGCGGACAGGCGGGACCCCCCCAATCCTATCAGGGATTGCCTTATGCTTTCGAACCACAGCCTCAGCAGGATATGAATAAGAGCAACGGGCAGGTGGCCAAATCTTCATCGATATGACTAAAGATGATGGACCCAAATTGCGCAGACACAGACAAGATGACAGCAATCAATGAAACAATTGACTCGGAAGACAGGTAAAAGTTCACAAAGGGCTAGAATGGAGGAGTGGTTCGAGAAACGAAACTTTCCAAATACAAGTGGACATAGTGGAAGGCTGTCCAAACGGTTAATAATGATTAGATATGATGCAGTTTATGTAGAAAATATTTGACAGATATGTACATATATATATATATACATAACTCTGAAATTAAGATATGGGAAAGAGATGCTCGTCTCAAACACTAACATCACGATTGGGTTCCAACAATCCACCATATTGGACAAGTTGGGTGGCAAGCCCTAAGGGAGATGATGGAATTCAGTTCATCATCCCGAAGAAGGGTAGCAAATTTCAATGCAGGAAAAATTCTGATCAGGATACATGGGTGGCATGTCCAATATGTTCATCCTTGGCGGCAGACTGCGGATAAGAATCCATAATCGACCCCACTAGGTCAGAAACACTTCAAACTCCACCAAAAAATGATATGTGGAAATTCAGCAACTTAAGTGGTGGAGAGCCAAGACTAACATTTAACTGTGGCATTTCTGTCCCAACTAACAAGGCATAATTGATGTTAAACTAAAACCCTGAAATATACAGTGAATGTCAAGAGCCAGAAATAGGTTATAACATCTGACATGTTCCTCAAGCATACCTACTGGGTCTAAAGAAAAATGGAAGGGGTGGCAAACCCGAATATTTCGAATAGGTAACCTAAGAGCACAAAATCAACTGTCTATTGCATAACTGTGTTGATCAGCTACCATTCAGCATATTTGTAAACTTGCAGGATGTTTTGCCATTGTGTTCGATTTTGCTAAAGATGAGCCCAAAGTCCTGAGAAGCATGAAGAATGTACTGAAACTCGCTTACTTCGCTCGAAAAACACGGGCCTGCATTCCGACGCACTCTATATATATATGTATATATATATATATTTATTTATATGTATATACATACATACATACATACATATATATATATATGTGTGTACACATATGCGTATATATATATACATATGTATATGTATGCATATTTTTGTATACATATATGCCTTTATACATATACAGAAAGAAAAAGGCTCGAGAAGCCAAGCTCTCCTTTTCGTGCGAGGCTGGCCTTCCTTTGTGACGCAGCGTCTCAGCAAGGCTGTCGGGACTCCCAGGGTTTAGGGTTTAGGGTTAAAAAGATCTAGAAGGGTTCCTATAAGGGGTTCCTACAGGGGTTCCTATAAGGGCTCTATAGGGTTTGCAGTTTAGGGTTTAGGGTGTCGGGGAGGGGGTTTAGGGGTACCTTAGGGCTCCTTTAAAGGGTTACCATAAGGGTGCTCTCAGGGTTCCTTTAAAGGGCTCTATAGACGCAGCTTCTCTCATAGGAGGCCAAAAGGGGGTTTAGGGTTTTAAAAGTTCTTCAGGGGTTTAGGGTTTAGGGGTTTAAAAAGGGGTTTAGGGTTTAGGGGATTACTTCAAGGGATTATTTTCATAGGAGGCCAAGAGGGGTTTTAGCCTGTGGGGGTTTAGTAGGGATTGGGGGTTCCCATAATAGGGTTCATATTAAGGAATCCCTACCCCAAGACTCTTAAACCCAGCTTCTCAGCAAGGCTGTCGGGGAGGGGTTTAGGGTTTACGGTTCGGGGAGGGGCCGGGAGGGGGACTTGAACGGAGACTTATTGTAATAGTAGTAACAACAATAATAGTATTACTAGTAAGAATAGTAATAGCAATGCTCGCAACGGTACTGTGTGGAGGGACGGTGGGGGTGGTTGGGTGGTTAGGGCGGTTAGGCTTAGGGTTTTAGGGCTTCTGATTTTGGGGATTTAAGGATTAGGATTCAGGGTTTTGGGGCTTAGGGCTTTAGGGGTTTAGGGTTCAGGGGTTTGAATGCAGGAAACTTTTATGGTTGTGGGGCTCCAGACCATGAAGCCTTTGGGTTGCATCGTATGGTCTGCGTATAGCATTGTAAGCCGATCATGAAGCATCAAGGGTAAATTTTCAGGCTTTCTTGGGGCTTTAGGGTGTTCTTGGGGCTTTGCCGTTTGCGATGACGATTTCATCAGAGATTGGGGTTTGAAGGGCTTGATGCCTAAACTATACCTGGACCCTAACGTGTTCCTCAAGAACGTACCTGTTTGAGTTTCTGGATAGTCATTGATTTCCTTATTTAACTAACTTCTTAAGGGTCCAGGTAAATCCTAAACTGTAAAGCGCTAGTTTACCCCCTAAAACCACAAGCCCTAACACGACCTAACATCCTTACACCCTAAACCGGTTCGAGCGAGGTTCATGGCATCATTAACTCCCTTAGGACTCCAATATGCCTGAACACCAACAACCTATTCTAGTTATGAAGGCCCGTGAATCAGAACTCCCGTAGTAACCCTTGCAGTATCCCCTTAGACGCCTTTTAAAGGGAATCCTTATTCGAATTGGGCCCCCTTTCTTGCCTGCCGGCCTCGACTACTGCCTGCAGATCCACGACTTCGACACTGCGCGGCCCGTCTCGAGGCGGATGTCCGGCGGCTGCAGACCGACCTTCAAAGGATGTAGGGCGATCTCTCCCAAGCAAGTGGGGGTTGCGGAAGCCCCATCCCCCTCCATATAACCATGGCAGCCACCCACAAGTGGACAAGACCGTGGCGGAGGCGGAACGTGACGACATCAACGAGAGCGAGCGCCGCCTTCAGTGTCAAATGGAGGAGTGGGCTCCAGCATTGTACAGGCATAGTCAGCATGCCTTCCAGTCATTTTTCTTCAGCAGCAGTGCAGAAGCAACGCAAAGTCCACAAAGATACGATCCCAAAGGCTACGACCCGTTCCTGCAGGGTTTGGGGCCAATTCAGGGTTTGGGGGTTAAAGCGTCCCAACGATGCGACGGCCCTGAATCATACTTAGAGGATCATGGGACTTAGTAACCTGGGTTATAAGTAAGGTAACTGTACTTGCTACTTATAACCCTAAGTACCATGATCCTCCTTATCAAACCCTTATAGATCCCTTTTTCGAACCCTGTAAGGATCCCTGTAAGGAACCTTACTTACTAAGTAATGTTGAGTTGCTTCTGCCCTCCAAGTAGGGTTTCAGGGTTTAGGGCTGCCACTTCCCAAGAACCAGATCCGAGCTCGAAGAGCCTATCGGGCGGGTTTTGGGGGTTCCTTTTTAAAGGGATCTACAAGGGTTGTAAGGTTTGTTCAGGCATTGAATAGTTATGGTTACTTCTCATGGTTCTTACATGAATCGTAGAGTAAGGCATTGAATACTTATGGTTAACTCTTTCATGTTTCTTAAATGAATTGTAGGTTTTTGCTGTTTAAACATGGTTTTAAGCTTTGGGTAGTGCTTCCGTAGGGCTCGAAAAGAGTGTTGCAAAGATTCCATATGTCCGTATACGGGGTCTTACTGTATCATTCAAGTACATTGGGGTTCACCTGGTCTGTGACGTTGAACAATTATTGTAAAGGTCCGGGGCTTGGGATGCAATTTTCCTTCTTCTGTCAAGGGTTTTGGGCTTAGAAGTCAGGTGTAAGGTTCCATTTGTCTGTGGCAGGCCCGACCGTAGGCATCGACTACCTCACCCTGGCGGCACGCCGGGCAGCGACTGCTTCGCGGAGAGATGTGGCGCCTAAGCTATCAATTGTCTCTGGGTCGTGGTAGTCCTCGCCTTGAAGCCCCTAATCAACACCGTAGCCTTGCAACGGGTTAATCTGAATCCCAAAAAGCTTCTTAATGGACAGCAGTCTACAACAGCCCCGCTTCACTGGAGTGTAGACGGCTGGGCTTGTGGATGCATCAAGTCCCAAACCATTTGTTTGTGATTTCCCTCGAGGAGCCGTGAAGCTCTGAAACCCTTGCAGGATGCTTGGGTTAGGGCGGTCAGGAACGGTTAGGGTTGAGATATTGCGCCCTGCTTTGGGATATACAAAATCAGTTTCCGCACATGAGGCGAGTGACGTCACGATGCCTCACATCTCAAGCGTCATGGGCTGCAACTGTTGGTTTTGGATAGGTACAGACACCCGCTTAAAGGATCATGGGACTTAGTAAGTAAGGTTATAAATACCTTAATTGGGTTATAAGTATAGTTACCCTAGTTACTAAGTCCCATGATCCTCTGAGCAACCAGCCAATCAGCCTGGCTGATTGCCTGGCAGACAGGCAGCCAGGCAGACAGATCCATCCAATATACGGGCCTTATAATATGCCCCAAAATCCTATTCTAATTATTAAGGCCCCTGTATCACCCATCTTCAAGCATGTATGGTGTCAGGTGCTTGTGCTTCTGCGTGCCGACGCTGCGGAAGGCCGAGTGATGGCTAGATGCAGGTCAGCTCTCCAATACCAAAGGGGCCGTACTGATAGTTCTCATAATTGGCTTAAGCTTCGATATTCGTCTTGCTCTGAAAGCTTCCAAGCTTTCAAAGCTTCTGCAGTTCTTGCAAGTTTGCCTTGCTCTAGAGCTTTAAAACTTCAGCTTAGCTTCCTCTTACATTGCAGGCGCAGACACATGTTATTGGATACTGCCCTAAACCCAAAACCCTACACCCACAACCCTAAGCCCTAAAACCCTCAACCCGAAACCCTTAGGCTTGCCCCTAAACCCCAAGCCCTAAACCTTAAACCCTGAAACCCTCAATCCTAAAACCCTACACCCGCGACCCTCAATCCTAAAACCCTACACCCACAACCCTAAGCCCTAAAATCCTCAACCCGAAACCCTTAGGCTTGCCCCTAAACCCCAAGCCCTAAACCTTAAACCCTGAAACCCTCAATCCTAAAACCCTACACCCGCGACCCTAAACCCTAAAATCCCTACACCCACAACCCTAAACCCTAAAATCCTCAACCCGAAACCCTTAGCCTTGACCCGAGACCCCAAGCCCTAAACCTTAAACCCTTAGGAATCCCTTATAGTAACCCTTATAGATCCCTTTAAAGGAACCCTATAGATCCCGATAAAAGGAACCCTACAGATTCCTTTAAAGGAACCTAAGCCCTCAACCCTAAACCCTCAACCCTAAACCCTAAACCTTAAACCCTGAAACCCTCAACCCTAAACCCTAAACCTTAAACCCTGAAACCCTCAACCCTAAACCCTCAAGCCCTTCAGTAGCAGGTCATCGGCTCCCTGCGCAGGTCCTCTTCGGCACTACCTGGAGGCCCCGACGGACGACATGGGCTACTTGACAGAGAGGAGATGGGCTCTGTAGGGTTCCTTGAAGGCTTCCTTTTTAGGGTTTTGGGGGTTTGGGGCTTAGGGTTGAGGGTTTAGGGTTCAGGGGTGGTTTAAGGTCTAGTCTGGGATTAGGTGTGCAGGGATTGGGCGTCTTGGCGAGTGTCTTTCTTTGTCGTTGCTGATGTTCTCTACTTTATCGTGTTTGTGTAGGGCGTTTTTCTCTTGGCTTTTACACCCGGCTTTACAGAGTTTTGCCGGCTGTGCTTCAACGCTGGCTTATGGTGAATATCTTGCGACCCGGAACCCTAAACTCCCGAAGCCCTAAACCCCAAACCCTTAAACCCTGAACCCCTATTCCGTAGACCCTACACCCCTATTCCCTAAACCCGAAACCCCTAAACCCTAAACCTTTTTTCAACCTGATCCGAACGACTGTTAGGTTTTGGCTTTAGAGCTGAAGGTCTCGGGTGTTGGGTTTACAGATTAGGGTTGGGGGTTTCAAGCGATATGGCAATCCTGTTCAGCAATCTCTGGGTTTTTGCTCCGGTAGGAGATACGACAGAAATCGTATCCTGCTTATCCACGGCTCCCAAATAATATGGGTTGAACCTGAGTTGCCATGCAAGAACACGCCGGGACTCCATAACTGAGGTATGTACATACCCCACAACTTAGATCCCCAATACACAACCTTTTACCTTTTTGGGTTCTTGTAGTTTAGTAGGAATCAGAAAGTTTAACCTTTCAATTCTGTGGCTTTTTGGGGTAGTAAGTCACACAACCGGATTCATGTAACACAACTAGGACAAGCTTCTTTCAGATAGCTGTGTGTCTGGCTTCGCCAGTTTGCATGCAATTGCACGGTCTTTCGAGAAACGGTTGATGGTATAAATCTTGCATGACCCATAATACATAATATACCATAATTCCCATAGCCTAGGGTTCTTAAGGTAATGCAGGATTTATATCATCAACAGAAGGACTTCACTTGCAGTTTTCAGACCGGAGAGTCCGTGCTCGGGAAGCTATCTTTGGCTCGTGATTTCTAGATGGGTAGTTGTCAAAATTATGGTCCCTCTTTGGATCCCTCTTATTAACACGGCACCAATTATTCACGGTACCAAAAAGGGGCCCTAATTTTGACAACCACTCAGATTCTGGATCAGGCCGTAGAGCACCCGATCATATCGCCGGGAGTTCGCAGCTTCGTGGTCTATCGGGTTTTGGGGGCTGGAATTTGGGATTTAGGGTTCAGGGTTTAGGGGCATAGGTTTTTTAAAAAACCTATGGTTTTTTAAAAAACCTATGCACTAGTTTCCTATCTATTTGACATTTTGTCGGGAGGAACGGCAAAGAATCAGCCGATAGCTTGACGTCAGTAGTAGTTCGTGCCGCTCAGTCTCCCGACGCAATGCTGTGCATCAGAATGCTGTCGGGGGACGAGGTCGCCAGCGTACCGGTGGGGGAGTTCACCGTGAAGGAGTTGAAGCTGCAACTACATGAGCTGCGTGGCCTTCCGACACGATTCAGGCAAAGGTTGCTTTTGCATGGCAATCCTGTGGAGGATTCTGTCAAGCTGGACACCCCCATGGAGTTAGAGCTCATCTTGCTTCCATATTCCGATGCATCACAGGCGCAAGCAGACGAGCTGCTGACTGCTGCCCGTGCCGGCTCCAGAAGTCAGGCCTCTACCCTGACAAAGCTTGGAAGTCTCTCTCTCTATCTCTCTCTCTCTCTCTCTCTCTCTCTCTCTCTCTCTCGACCTGGGTCCCCAGCAACCCGTAATTACTAAAGTCTCCTTAGGATTTTTTATTTTTGTTCATTGAAAACCCAAGAGAATATTAAAAATATTATGTGTATTATGGTTCTAAGGGGTATATATAGTTGAAACCGATTTGCGTGCAGGTGGAGGCACTGTTGCAGCTGCCGCTGAACCCGAATATGGCCTACGCACGGCGCAGGCCGCCCCTCATTTCAGCTTCTGTTCGAGGCCACATTGAAGTTGTTCGTTCGCTGCTGGATGCAGCTACCGACACGAACCTGGCCCGTGACGATGGCCTCACTGCCCTGATAGCTGCTTCTGGTACGCGTATACAGCACCACGAACTTGTTCGTTTGCTCCTGGATGCAGCTGCCGACACGAACTCGGCACGCGACGATGGCACCACTGCCCTCATAGCTGCTTCTTGCGCTCGTATACAGCACCATGAAGTTGTTCGTTTGCTGCTGGATGCAGGTTCCAACAAGAACTTGGCCCGCAACGATGGCACCACGGCCCTGATAGCTGCTTCTCGTGAGGGGCACCTTGATGTTGCTCGTTTGCTGTTGGATGCAGGTGCCGACAAGAACTTGACCCGCAACAATGGGGCCACTGCTGTGTTCCTAGCATCTGATGCAGGCCACACAGAAGTTGTTCGTTTGCTGCTGGATGCAGCTGCCGACACGAACCTGGTCCGTAACGATGGCACCACTGCCCTGATAGCTGCTTTCAGTGAGGGCCACGTTGATGTTGCTCGTTTGCTATTGGATGCAGCTGCCGACACGAACTTGGCCCGCAAGGACGGCACCTCTGCCCTGATCATAGCTTCTGGTACGGTGCACCACGAACTTGTTCGTTTGCTCCTGGATGCAGCTGCCGACACAAACCTGGCCGTCGACGATGGTTTCACTGCCCTGATGGCAGCTTCTTGTACAGGGCACCATGAAACTGTTCGTTTGCTGCTGGATGCAGCTGCCGACACGAACTCGGCACGCGACGATGGCACCACTGCCCTCATAGCTGCTTCTCGCAAAGAGCACCAAGAAGTTGTTCGTATGCTGCTGGATGCAGGTGCCGACACGAACCTGGCCCGCAACGATGGCACCACTGCCCTTGTAGCTGCTTTTTGCAGGGGGCAGGTTGATGTTATTCGTTTGCTACTGGATGCAGCTACCGACAATAGCTTGGCAGCCAAGCGTGGCACCACTGCCCTGACGGTAGTTTCTCGTCAAGGACACGTTGAAGTTGTTCCTTTGCCACAGGCTGCGGGTGCCGACGAAACCTCATCCAAGAAAAGAAGCCACGACGTTGAATTGAGCACCGCGAAAAGGCCCAGGTAAGACTTTGATTCCGCAACTGCTGATGGAGTCCCTTGCCTTCAATTGCAAGGACTTATCGAACGACGGGAGTGTGATTGCACTCACAAAGCTCCTCTGCGAGCTGCCGCCTTGTTACATCCTCTACTAGGGAGTTACGGCATCGGAGCCCACACGGACGGAGCTGGTGCTTCAGTGGACTGACGGACTGACGAATTGCTGAAGCGCAAGCGATCAACAGCAAAGTCTTTCTAGTAAACCTGTCCCCTGCGCAAGTTCAACCATCAGATGAAGTCGAGGCTTGTGGAACTGCGAAAGAATCATACGTCCACAAGCCCGAATCCCGTGAACACGAGCAAGCAGAATAAGCCGCAGCCCTTGCCCACCCTCTGAGTCCAGGACGTGCAAGAATGACTGGGCCCCCTCAACCGCCGGAACCCCCATCCCCAAGCCGGTATGAAGCCGGAGCTTCCAACATCCCTTAGTTAAGGAATCTACTCTAAATTAGAGTAGGATCCCTAATGTGATTTAAGGTATACTCCAGGGATTTCGGAAGGTCTGGGAAGCTTTCAGCATAAAACATATGGAGCCGCAATGATAAGCCTTTGAACCCTCAGCTCGCCTCAGCCCGAATCCCAGAAGTCTTTACATCGCATGTGCCCAGCCCTTTACCCCGCAAAATACTTAAAGGATCATGGGACTTAGTAAGTAAGGTTATAAGTACCTTAACTGGGGTTATAAGTATAGTTACCTTACTTGCAACCCTAGTTACTAAGCCCTATGATCCTCTAAGTAGGCCTGTAAACCAGATGCCCGAAACCTTGAAACTTCAAGCTTCTGCACCCGAAACCCGGCAATCCCCTCAGTCCCAAATTTTTAACGCTGGGGGTTTAGTGTTTAGGGTAAAGGAACACAGTAAGCGACCGTGTAAGCAACCCTAAACCGTGCCAGCCCCATAAGCCTCAACCGTATAAACCGTAGCCCCAAACCCTAAACCCTAGAAGCCCTAAACCCTAAGCCCCTAAACCCTGAGCTCTGGAAGGTGACGGTGACGGCAAGCTCCGGGTGTTGGTGCAGAGCTACGATGCCATGCGCGTGATCCGTGCCTCCGCCCACGGGGTGCCATGAGCTCGCAGAGAGATGGCGGGGTTCAGTGGTTTAGGGTTTAGGGGTTTTGGCTTTGGGCTTTAGGGTTTTAGGGGCTTAGGGGTTAGGGGATAGGGGTTCCGGGAGTTTAGGGCATAGGTAGTGGAGGTTCAGGATGTTGGGATATAACCTGGCCTCCTCTGGAATTGGTTTTCATTTTGCTATCATGTAGACTGATGGTGTTTGTTGGGGCAACTAAAGGGGTCTGCATAATGAGCCGCGGCATTCCTGAAGGTTCTCTGCTATGTTCATAGGGGATTTTGACAGGATTTGGGTGTTGGTGTGACAGGTTTTGGGTGATAGGTTCCTTCCTAGGGTTAGGGTTTCATGTCGTGACGTTCTGCAGCTACTATGAATTCATCTTAAGCAGGATTCCAAAAGAGTTGGATATACCCTTCCCACCAAAGCCATCAGATTCGGTATTCCACGTCGAGGCTTCAACCTGGAATCCTTCCATCCACCCTAATTATGGTCAACCCCTAAAGGGCGCATAAGGTTCTTAGGTAATAGGGTTAGGGGTTTGGGGTTTAGGGTCTTGCTTCGTGGTTACACGAAGAGACACGAAAAGAGCCAAATGCCCTCCGGGTCGGATTTCAATTTAAATCCTGGGTGATATGCAAGATTCCAGTAGTATTTCAGAAATCCCGCTGGAACTTATGGAAGGTTGAAGTCTGGAACCCTCTACTTAATACTACACTATGTTATGCCATACTGTACTGCACTTCTACTGTTCTACACTATACTACCCTTATACTGTACTATACAACAGTACACTGCACTGTACAATACCAAACTATGGTTTTGGGCCCCATTATACTGTACTTATAATAAGGAATCCCCCGCAAAACATAGTATAGGCACTTATTCAGTTTTGAGCACCCGAAAAATAGTATAGGCAATTGTTAAGGCACCTACATTACTGGAAGTTCTTCTTATACTATAATTATAGTCAGGCACCCCCCCAAAAAAAAAAATAGTATAGGTATTGTTTTTTTTTCAGTTTCAAGGCCTCTACATTACCGGAATGTCTCCTTCTTGGGGCCCACTGGGCCAGGTGCCAGTCCTGACAGCGGATGAATGGTCCGAGGACCCCCGGGTTCAGTTGAAGTTCAGGGACATCTTTAAAGGGATTAGGTTTTGGGGTTTAGGGTTCAGGGGTTTAGGGGTTCAAGGGTTTTGGGTTTAAGGGTTCCTGTAAGGACTCCCGGGTTCAGGTGAAGTTCGGGGACATAGGGGTACCTTATTTTGGGGTCGTTTAAAGGGTTACTATAACGGTACTGTAATGGTTCCCTTAAAGGGCTCTATAAGGGGATATACTAGGATGCCCAGGGGTGCCTTTAATTAAAGGGATCTATTAAGGGTTCCTTTAAGGGTTCCCAGAGGGTTTGGGGTTTAGGCTTTGGGAGTTTCCGAAACTTGGGGGGGTACCTTATTTTGGGGGTACCTTATAATGAGGATCCTATTATGTAGGGTACTATGTTAGGGTCCCCTATACTCGAAAACCCCCAGATAGGTTTCCGGGTTTCGGACTTTTGCGACCGGTAGAGTCATAGAGGATATCAGAGTCTTTAGGTGTGAGGGTGTTGGGCCGTTTGGGCGTTAGGGGTTGAGGCTTCAAGGTTTATGGCCGTTTAGGGTTTTAGGGTGTTCGGGCTCCAGGACGACAAGTGTTTGCAAACGATGGCTATGCGGCTCTTAAACCCTAAACCCTAAACTGTTTAGTAGTTTACTTGTGTGGGCAATGCCTTCCTTTATGTATAGGAAACTCCAGCATGCACTTGATTTGCTTGCTTCCTTCGGGGAGCAACCGCAATAACGAGAAGCAGACTTAGTATGTATGCACCACAAATCCGAAAAATCGTGCGAACACTTGTGCCAGAGTGGGCATTTGCTCCCGGCCGCTGTGAAAGGGTAGCTAGTTCTGCAAAGGTCCCGTGTTAGGCCACACAAATGACACGGCGACCTACATACATGCATCCATGCATGCATGTATGCGTGTGTATGTGTGCATGCATGCATGTATGTATTTGCGTATGTGTGTTTGTAAGAGTGTATAATGGTTGCATTGTAGGCAATGTGTTTATGTATGCACGTACATTGTATACTTGTTTGATGGTTTGCATGCGCAAAGAATTTGCATGTCACGAGATTTTGTTCATGGTTTTGTATGAGTAGGCACACACATATACATATACATATACATATACATATACATATACATATACATATACATATACATATACATATACATATACATATACATATACATATACATACATATATATATATATATATATATATAGCACAAATCCTAAAACCCCGAACCGTAAACCATGTATATACATATGCGCACATGCTTGCGATTCTAAGTATTCGGGTTCGTGGGACGTCAGAGCCACGAGTCTCATCGTCATCATCATCGTGCTTGTCGTCCAACCGTGCAGGTAGCACTCTTAGTTACCATGGGAGTTCAAGAAAGTTTTGAAGGGAGTTCATGAAACCGTTTAAGACAGAGGGGACAAACAATGACAAATCAAAAGCCCTCAAACCCTAAAGCCTTAAGCCCCGAAAGCTTTAGCCCTAAATTACCAGTACTATTCCTGAGTGTCCCTTGCTTGATTTGTATAGTAACTTAGTATAGACAAAGCTGACTCTGACTCTAATTATGAAGGCCCCCACAAGAACCCATTCTAGTACGCCTTTTAGAAACCCTTTGAGGAATCCTTGCAAAGACCCTCTTCTGGCTATTGAGGCACCTATACCTGTTTCACACGAGGGGATCCTGCTAGGGTTCCTTTAAGGATTTTGGGTTTCGTTATAGATCCCTTTAAAACAGAACCATGAAAATGGCACCCTTATAGATCCCTTTAAAATGAAGCCCTTAAAGGTACCCTTATAGCTCCCTTGAAAGGAACCCCTAAATGGCCTTTGAAAGGAAGCCCTTAAAGGTACCCTTATAGCTCCCTTGAAAGGAACCCCCTACATGGCACCCTTATAGATCCCTTTAAAGGAATCCCTTACAGGTACCCTTATAGACCCTTTGAAGAGCGTAACAAGCGGGCGAAGGAACTGGAGGAAGCAGAACAGGCGGCCAAGCAGTCAGTCGCCGACAAGAGCTCCTTCTTGGAGAACAGGCAGAAGCTGCTGCCAGCCAGTGGCACGACATGAGGGAAGACTTGGACAAAGCCATCTCCCAGACTAAAGCCGTGCTTGCCCACGTAACACTCGATGGCGAGGGGCAGAAGCAGATTCGACCTGAAATGGTCGCCACCCTGACTCTCTGCTTCGCGGCTTGTTATTTGGAGTTCTTGGCTTGAGCGTTCGGGACTTCCGGGCTCATGGCCACAGTCTGGACTTGCGACTCACAGATCCCGAGAATCCAACCCTCGGATTGCGTTGTCTCAGTTGCTCGCAATCTAGATGCAACGACGCCGGAGTCTTGCGTAGTGCGTCGTTGACTTTAAATTGGTTTCAGGATGTCATTTAGGCTTTGGGGAACTGGTAGTGGATGTTGCTAGACAGCAGTTTTGAGGATCTTCGTGCGTGGTTTGTAGGCAGGCCAGAAATACCACATTGATGCAACCGCGATTCCAGCAGTCATGGCAGAATAGGCACGGTTTGGTGTATCCGTCTTCATTCAAAGATAAGCAGGAGATGGCCCGCGCCATCGTGCAGCCCCGTTTCCTTCCTGCCGATGCCGCATGGCATCCACAAGACAGTGGGTCTGTTGGGGTTTAGGGTTCAGGATGTAAGGTGGGGTTGTTCTCGTTGACAAGGTCATTCAGCAGGTGGAGTTTAGCAAAGCACATTCTCAAGGGCGACCCGACTAACTACAGCACCTAGCTCGGGATTTTTGGGTGAATGCAGAAGCCCTATACCCTAAACCCCAAACCCCTAAATCCTGATTTCTAAACCCTAAACCCCTAATCATCCTCTTCGGGTTCTTTCAAACTGCGGAGCCGAGCTGGGTGATGCGAGTCTTTGACTCGGGGGAAACGTCGGGCTTTTGGTTCGGGTTAAAATTACCTTGTAGAGTAGATAACCTGCAACCTTGTTGGGGACTATACGTCCCCGTATAATCCTTATATACCCAAAAAGGTTAACCTTTAGTTCGCCGTGATACCCGACAAGTACGATTGAAAAGGCTTGGACTTTAACCTTGAACCCTGGACCTGAAGCCTTAAACCCTCAACTTTAAGCCCAAACCCCTTAGACCAACCTTAAACCCAACGCTTAGCGTCTCGAAGCTCCCAATGTCACTGGAGCATCAGAGGGTTTCGGCCAGCACCTGACGGTTTTACCTGCTACACGGCCCTATAAGACCCTATGAAACGTTTAGCTTTACAAAACCGGCGTCAAATCCGACAATAACTTGTTTAAAACTTCATAGAAACTCAACGGAATAAAATCGTTATTATCTTGTTTAGAACCTCGTAAACATCCTAAAGTCCTTGAGCCCTTAGGACGAAAACGCTTGAGCACATACTAAATAGCTACATAGCCTGAAGGTAATCTGACACGATCCGAGCCTCGCAACCACTCAGGAGCCTGCATGAAAGCTGAAATTTTGGACCGAGAACCCTAAACTAAACAGAAAACACAAGGCCACTGCAAACTCTACAGTGACCTCAAAACCCTCATACAGACCCTAAACCCTGAATCTTACACTAAACCCTAAACCCATGAGATAATAGCAAACCCTAAACGGCCCAGCGATCCACTTCCAAGCTCTTGAAGGAGGCGACTGAGTGGAGAGCCATTTGGGCTGCTGTCGGCGGCCATGCCGCGCACTTGAAGCAGGCCGCTTTTTTCGGCTTGGGCTACAGGGTTAAGAAAGAATCCGCTGGTTGGAACTCCCCACAGCTTCAGGGATTATCTAGGGCTTGACCCAGAGAGCCCAATACACCTTAATTAAGGAATATACCTTAAAGTATACAGCAAAGTTTAAGGGGGTTCATATGATGATTTAAGCTATATTCCTCAGTTAAGGGGTATGGGGGCTCTCTGGGGAGGTTTAGAGGTTCAGATTTTGGGTTCGAGTAGGGCTTTGGGCAAAAAGGAAAAAGTCTTCAAGCGGGCACTAAACCTGTCCAAAGGAGCATCTCGAACAGCTGTCAAAAAGAGGTTTCCCATCGTTTAGTTCAGGGTTGGGGCCTAGGGTGTGGTTTATGTGAGGGTCGAGTGTCGGGTTGCCGGTGTCTTTCAGGTCAGATTTCTCTATTGTGCAGACACATGCTCTCACCGTGAACCATCGGGGCTTGAGACACGCTCACACACACACAAGCACACATCTATATACATCAATATGTACATATATACACATATATATATACACATATGTATATATATACACACACATATATATATATATATGTTGTACATAGACAGGTATGTTTAAAAAGCGTAAGTATGCATGCCTTCATACATACATGCATGCATGCATGCATGCATGCATACATACATACACATATATATATATATATATTTACATATATGCATATATATATGTGTGTGTGTACATACATATGTACGTGCGGTTGTGGACGTTTACGGCTTGTTGCTCGGGGTTTAACTTCTCCCTATGAGACCATGGTTGCTTTACTTGAGATTAAGGTACATTCTTAGTACCCCAATAGCCACAGAATTGAAAAGGTAAACTTTCCGATTCCTACTAAACTACAAGAACCCCAAAAGTTTAAAGGTCGGGTATTGGGGATCTGAGGATATATACTGTGGTTACCATGTTGGGTTTGAAAGACATTCCTCGTCGCAGGTTGCTGAAGCTCTGGCCGCTGCACCGCAGATTGAGGACAATATGGGGCCTTAACGCTTAGAACAGCTTAGATCCCCAATACCCAACCATTTAACTTTTTTGGGTTCTTGTAGTTTAGTAGTAATCGGAAAGTTGAACCCTTCAATTCTGTAGCTTATTGGGGTAACAAGTTTAGAACAGCGTTTTGGTGTTGTGTTTCTGCTGGCTTCTGACGTAGTACTGTTTAGACGATCGGGGGGCAGTCTTGACAATTGCTCCAACCTCTACCATAGGGATCGGTATATATGGTGATAGTATTCCTTATGGTCCTTATTTAAATTCCTGTATAATATACCCCCCAAACCCTATTCTACTACCCTTGCATTCATAATTTCCATTATTAGAGAGAGAGAGAGAGAGAGAGAGAGAGAGAGAGAGAGAGAGAGAGAGAGAGAGAGAGAGAGAGAGAGAGAGATATATACATATATATATGGTACATATATATGTTATATATATATATTATATATATGCTAGCCCCCCCCCCCCCCCAAAGACCAACCCTGAATTCCCTAAATTCCCTAATTCCCTACCCATTGGATTTAGGTATTTCCCTAAATTCCCTAAATTCCCTAATTCCCTACCCCATGTGTTGGATTTGGGGATTTCCCTAATTCCCTAAATTCCTTAAATTCCCTAAATTCCCTAAATTCCTTAAATTCCCCAAATTCCCTAAATTCCCTAAGTCTGACCCCCATGGAGAAGATTCAATGGTTTCCGTTCATGGGTAGGGAATTTAGGGAATTTAGGGAAACAGGGACTTCCCTAAATCCAACACATGGGGTAAGGACTTAGGGAATTTAGGGAATTTAGGGAATTTAGGGAATTTAGGGAATTTAAGGAATTTAGGGAGTTTAGGGAGTTTAGGGAATTTAGGGAATTTAGGGAAATAGGGAATTCCCCAAATCCAACACATGGGGTAGGTAATTAGGGAATTTAGGGAATTTAGGGAAATTAGGAAATTTAGGGAATTTAGGGAATTCCCTAAATCCAACACATGGTCCTGGCTGGGAGTCAGGAATGTTAGGGAATGCGCTAAAACCAACACATGGGGCTGGAAATTAGGGTATGTAAAGACTTTAGGGATTTAGGGAGTCTGCAGGAACTCACGCAGTCTGTAAATTCGAGGCATGGAAGCAGTGATTAGAGAATTTAGGGAACTCGACCTCGCGACGTCGCCGGTTGACGTGTCTGTGCAACTGATACTTGTGGTGATATTGATATTATTTTGAAAACTTTGAAAACTATAATACTCATACGAGTACTAATACTTATAGTAATACTACTGGTGAAACTGATAGTATGCTAGTATGAATACTGATGTTCCCAAGAATACTTGAAATCATGTACATTGTATGAACAGTCTTGATGCGAATACTAATATACATACTATAGCTAGTATTATCGCTAGTATGAATATTGGCTATGCATACTCGTGAAATTACTCATTTTTGGAGTACTCATGTTCATGCTAATATTAGCACTAAGGCTAGTGCGAACGTGCATAATAACATGCTCATACATGAATGTTAGCATTCGTATAAATATCAGCATTGGTATGTTTTTCAGTAGTACTAGTAACTCATACGAAGAGTAACCTCAAGTTTCATATTCCGACGAATACCAACGCATGTTTTGTTCATACTAATTTTAAGTCTAGTAGTATCTACTCCTAATATTGAAAAAACTGTACTAATACCAATTTTAGAATTGATGTGAACACGAACTTTAATGTTCTTGCCAATACTAATATGCATAGTAATATTAGTTAGCATTAATGTATAGGAAAACTAATGTTCTTACGAAAACTAATAATCATGTTCCCCTTTTATATTCATATAAGAATCGTCATGCCCAGATACGTACTAATGCTAGTACTCATGCTAATACGAGTATTAATACCAATACAAGCATAGGTATGAATATTCCTACGGTATTTATGCTCATGTTCTTAACAAAATTATTCTCAGTACGAATACCGACATTAATAGTCTCTTTAGAACCATATTGATATTAATATGAGCACTAATACTTCGGCTAGTACGAACATGCATAATACTAGCAAAATTATTTGTGCTTATACAAGTATAGAAAGATTATTACATACTCATATTAATATCAATACCAATATGAATTTACAAACGTCATATTAATGTCAATATCGTTTTTGTAATGTATACTAAAGAATACATCAGAATAAGGCACAAGGAAATGAATGCATCAGATTGTTAAAAACTCAATGTTTTCATTTACCAATATGTATGGTTATAGTATTATACTAATATACTAATAAATTCATATACTAATATACTGAGAAACTGATATACCAATAGACCATTGTTACTAATATACCAATATACGAGTATATCCAAAAAATTTTTATTAATATATATGTTTTGTTTATATACCAATATACTGAATATACACATGTGAATACTTTTACACATAATGTATTAAGACTAAGTTTTTAAAGCCCAGCCCACGTCTAATATTAATACGAATACTAACACGAACAGTAACACTAACACTGCTATAGACATATATTAAATTAAACTGGAGCACTAATACTCATATTAATATTAAGACTAACACTGACGTTGACACTGACACCAGCATCAGCACTAACAGGAACACTAACCAAACGAACAGTAATATTGGACAGATACCAGCAGCATTGTTAGAACTTCTAGAATTAGTAATGGCACAAAACTAATAATAATGCTAACGCTAGCAAAAATATTAAGGTTACTGCTCACAATAATTGAGGTTAAAACTTAGAACAAAATTAAGTCAAGACCAATGTTAACACTGTTTTTTAAGACTGAAACTACTAATACGACTTTGACAAGATGACAATAATTAATAAAGGATGAGGCACACCAACTGGACTCTGTCTTTTACCACTCCGACAAGACGCGCCGAGGGTGTAAATGGTGTCCATAAAACTGGACCTTGTTTTTTACCAGTCTGTCAAGAGGCGTCGAGAGTGCAAACTTTGTACGGGAACACAAACACCATCGGTATTTACAGTGGTTTCGGCTCTTATTCATGACGCTGTGAAGACAGTAATGAGCAGGACAATGGCCGAGGTTGGTCTTGGGGGGGGGGTTACCATATATATGTATATATATATATATATATATATATAGAGCGAGAGACAGGGAGAGAGACTCGGCGATGAGGGTTCTGCACAGAGTTTCTGATTTCTGGTATGGTTTGCCTCTCTCGGTGTCTCTGTGTGCGTGTGTGCATTTGTAGACTACTTACGCAGACCGCCTTCCTTGTGCGTGCTATTGGGGAATATTGGGTCATGTTGCAATTTACGGTGCTATTCTCATCCATGTATTGGCAGTTCTCTAAATTGGGGGTCCCTTGTGTCGTCCCCAAAATAGTACGGCACCCTAATCAAAAAGGACCCTAAAACAGACCCTAACTTCGAGAACTAGCCATACATGCATCTACATGAGTTCAGCGGGCGCAACGTAGAGTTCGAACCGATCTTGTGACCCTGCAACCCTCAAGCTTGATCCAGCTTAGCCCGGGGAAGGGCAGGTTTAGGATTTAGGGTTTAGCGGAAGGTGAATGTACTAGTGTTTGGGGTTCATATCCCTTTTTAAACTGCACATTGGATACTCTAGGTAAGGTTTAGGGCCCTAATTAATAAACTCCTCTAGTATAGCCCTTGTAGTACAACCCTTAAAGGAACCCTCAAATGAACCCTATAGATCCCTTTAAGGGAACCCTATAGCCATGGAATCAAAGCAGCCGCAGTCATCGCCATGGCACTGGATGCGACCCTGCAGCGCAACAGTGTGGATGAGGCAGCCGCTGAGCCAAAGATGCAAGCAGCGCCAGTTCCAAGGAGCAACGACCGCGAAGGCTTGTAGGGTTTAGGGGTTTAGGCTCGAGGGTTTAGGTTTTTAGGGTTTAGGATGTTGGGTGTTGTTTTGGGGTCTGGGCTTCAGGATAGTTGTGAGACTCCAGGATGTCTTGTGCCTTGCGTGCACGCGAAGCCGCCAGGAACACCACCAATGCAGAATGCAGGCCTGGTGCGAAGCCCTTCGAACCCTAATAATTATCTCTGCCCCTAGCCTCTAGACTCTAAGCCGTATGAACCTACAAAATACCCATCCTAAACCTCGAAGGTGGGGTCGGGATACGCAGCTCGTAAGGATTTTGCAGTACAACATACCCCAACCCTTAAACTCCCAAACCCTAAACCCCCAAATCCTAAACCTAAAGCCTTAGCCTAGATACCCAGACGTATGCTAGCAAGCCCTAAACCCCTAAACCCTAAACCCCCTCCAACCCTAAACCCCTAAACCCCTAAGGACCCCTCAAACCCTCCCTAAACCCCTATGGGCCCCCTCCACCCCTAAACCCCTAAGCCCAGGTCCAAGAGAGGCAGACGTTGGAGGCGCAAAGGCGAAAGGAGGACCTGCAGGGCTTTGGATTTAGGATTCCGGGCTTAGGAGTTTAGGGGTTTTAGGGTTTGAGGGGTTTAGCGGTTCAGGGTTTAGGGTTTAGGGTTTTAGGGTTTGAGGGGGTCCTTAGGGGTTTAGGGGTTTAGGGGTTTGAGGGGGTCCGTAGGGGTTTTAGGGTTTGAGGGGGTCCCGTTAAGGGTTCCTTTGAGAACCGGGCTCCTTCAAGGGTTTAGGGTTTGAGGGTTGAGGCGTTTAGGGGTCGGTGGTTGGGCTAGTAGGCACGAGAGAACAGGAAGCGAGAGTAGAGTTGGGACTGTCAGGGCTTTTGATTTAGGGTTTTAGGGTTTAGGGTTTTAGGGTTTGTGCCTGTAAAAGTTCTTCAATTCTAATAGCTTTTGAAGCCACAAGACCCTAAGTCCTGAATGCATTTTTTCTTTCACTTTCTTGTACAATCCTAAACCCTCAACACATTTACTCAACCCTAAGACACATTAGTGTACCCTAAACAACCACAGTTACTGTGAACCTACTATAGGAGCCTTAATGATTACCTATACTGTTTTGGGATCCCTATTATATTGATAGTATAATGGCCCCAAAAACCCTATTCTAGTGTTTAAGGCCCCTACGGTACCAGCCCTCATGAGCCTCTTTCAAGGCTCTCACAGACAACGCCATGAAGACCCAACAACAACCTCGTGATACGCCCGAACCAAACCCTAAAGCAAGCTTGTCTCGAAGCAAGTATAACGCCCGTTTATGAAACCCAAAGAGCCGTAAACCCTGAGGAAGTGGAAAGGGTTTTTGCCCTGTTTATCTAAAACCTAGAACCTCGAATGCAGCTCCTTTTTGGGAGAGCCTATTCATGTTTCGGATCCTCGAGTAAGAAACTATGTTCACCAAGAGAGAGTGCTACATTTTGGTCTAGGTAGAAGCCAGTTCCTAACACGTAATATAGGGGCCTTCATAATTAGAACAGGGTTGTGGGGCTGATGCGGGCGAAAGCCTGTCGGCGAAGAGCGAAACGAAGGACGACATATGCATCCTCAACGAATACGTATATAAAGACATCTATAGCTTACTGCAGATAGACTGCAGAAGTCGAAGCATTGGGTCGTATTTCTGGGACCAGGAGTCCAAGGTCTGCGCAGGGAAATCTTTTGGATTAATTAGGGCATTTGCGTGTAAGGCTGCGCGGCTCAGTAGAATAATTGATCAGCAGATTGCAAGAGGCACATCTTTCAGCCTGTGCCCAAACAGGTTCAAGGACATGCGTGCGACAATCATTATCCAACTAGGGAATCCCCACAAATAGTGTCCCTTATAGGAACCCTTAAGGGATCCCTTTAAAGGAACCCTATTAAACCCTTATTTAGGCCCCTATAGAACCAGGAGATGGAGGAGCTTCGGGAGGAGATGAAACGTGAGCGCGAACAGCCTCTGAGGAGCTGTGGCTGGCTGGAAAGCTTTGCTTTAGGGTTTAGGGGCTTAGGGTTTAGGGTTTTGCTCTAGTGGTTGTGGAGAGTTTTAGGGATTAAAAAGGGAGGTCTATACCTAGACCCTCCTTCTACTTTCTCATTTGCTAGAAACACCAACGACTAGAGGTTTATCCAGGTGTCACCGGGTTGCAAAAGCGTTTTCTGGAGGGTTATCGGGCCTTTCGACTTGCTAGCCTGGAGGTGGCTATGCAGGGTTTAGGGTTTAGGGATACAGGGGTTACTACTATGAGGCATTTAGTTTTTTAGGGCTTGTGTACTAGGGTTCGTGTTTGTGGGTACTGTGGGGTTTGAGGTTTTAGGTTTCTTTAGGAATTGCAGCTTAGGGTGTACAGGGGGGGGGTTCAAAAATCACTTAACCCGGTGCTCTAGCCTGTAGTCATCTAATGGTAGCGCTGCAAGCGTTCATTGGGGTTACAAGGGATTTATGGCAGATAAAGCCGGGTGTGCACATACCCGAGTGTTTTAAGTACAAACTAATATGCAGATACACACACATACATATATGAATATATGTGTACATACCCTGTACATACATCCGTACATGCAGACCGAGAAACATTTACAAATACAGGCAGATAGACATCTACATACATGTACGTGCACAAGAAACATGTGTGTACGTATATATATATATATATACATATATACATATTTATAAATTTATAACAGCATATACACATACATGCATACATACATGCATGCATGCATGCATGCATGCATACAAACACACATGCACACATACATGCATACAAATAGACTGACAGGCATACAGACGGACATTAATTACATACAGACATACATACATACATACATACACACGTGCATACATACACATAAACACGCATATCTGCATGCATGCATGCATGCATGCATTTATACATACACCCATGCTTGCATGCATACATGCAGACATCCACCCACCCATCCATCCACCCAACCGCCCATGCATGCATGCTATCAAATAAGCTGGTCAGTAAGATAAGTAAATGTATATATATATATATACATGTTATACATATATGTATATATAGATGTGTATGTATATATATACACACACGTATATATCTTATAGCAGTATTGACTTGTGTTTTAGCTCGCTTTGTTCATGGAGGGGGGGTGTGACGTGGGGTTTGGTAGCATGGACTTGCGGTGCGGGTCTTGTGGCTATGTGAGTGCGGGCCCATGGTTTGGAGACATATTCTAGGTTAGTATCTGGAAGCTGTGCATCAAGGGACCAGTTCTAATGATCAAGGCCAGTCTAGGATGGGATCCCCTCATTCTCCGAGCCTCGAGTGCGAGGAGCCCGGATGCTGAGGAGAATCTCAGGATGGCCAAGGAAATGTGGGGCATTGAGAGATTACCCAAATGTGGGACTGAGTAAGTTGAATATGGCTTTGGGGTATATTCGACTATAAGTGTACTACGACGGATTTCGCGTTTAGTGATTTGGGATGATTTGGGGATTTAGGGTCTAGGGTTTCGAAATTTAGAATACAGGGCGTGGGGTTCAGAGATTCAGCGCTTGCGGTTGGGGGCCTCAGAACCTACCTCTTCTAGCTTACAGCACAATAGGGAGGGGGTCGGAAAATTTGCAACAATATTCATTCAATTGTACGTAATCCCCGTCAGTTAAGTGATACGATAATACAACCCGAAATCCTGTTCTAGTCATGGAAGGCCCGACACGACAGAACCACTGTAGAACCTGCCTGTTCTAACTTATGACAAAAAACAACAGAGGCCATTATTCTAGAAATGCAGGTTCCACATGGCCAAGCAGGATTTAGTCATGCAGGGATTCGGCTCCAACTATCCGTTGTGAGGCTTCGATTTGGGCAGGTTAGGCAAGGCAGATATGAGCCTGCACCAAAGGGAAGAGTAGGCAGAGTAGGAGCAGGAGAAGGAGGAAGAGTAGCGTCGTAGTAGTAGTCGTCGTCGCCGTCCTAGAAGTAGCAGTAGGAGGAGGAGTCGTAGCAGTAGCAGTGGTGGTAGTCGTCGTCGTCGTAGTCGTAGTCGTAGTCGTAGTGGTCGTCGTCGTCGTAATCGTAGTCGTAGTGGTAGTGGTAGTGGTAGTGGTAGTGGTAGTGGTAGTGGTAGTGGTAGTGGTAGTGGTAGTGGTAGTGGTAGTGGTAGTGGTAGTGGTAGTAGTAGTAGTAGTAGTAGTAGTAGTAGTAGTAGTAGTAGTAGTAGTAGTAGTAGTAGTAGTAGTAGTAGTAGAGTCGTCGCCTCTACTAAACATCGTCGTCGTCTTCCTGGCTGTTGACTCCAAGTCTTGCTGCAGGTTTTTGGTGAGACAGCCACTGATATTCACAGTCGGTTTTCCGAAGCTGAAGGTGTTTGTCCCAAATACCATAGATTCTGTATAAGCCTCCAAGCCGTCTTGCAAAATTGCGGCCCCTATATTAAAACCTTCATAGCAGCCCTGATAGTAACCTTTTCGTAAGAGCCCGGCAAGACAGGAGCAAAATCGAGATGACAGTTTCCGAGCCGATGCACGGACGCCGGAGGCATTTCGTTATTTCGGAAAGGTGTGGGTGGGAGGGAGTTCAAAGAGCTTTCGAGCGTTGGGCTAGACTCGACCGCTTTGGAGAATGTCAAAGCCTCTACAAAGTATCCGTCGAGTATCTTGCAAAATATGTCCTCGGAGTCTTTGAGATAGGCCTCTGGTCCGGGGGTTCCATTTTTAGACCCTTAAGGGGCATGTGGGGGTTTCCGAAAAGGGGGGACCCTGATATGGTACCCTAAATAGTAGGATCCTTATTGTTACTAAAATAAGGTACCCTACTTCTCGGAAACTCCCGTATGGTGTATGATGCGGCAGATTCTTTGGGGGCTTTCCTTCTGAGGGCCAAAGTGACTGGATGTGCAGCTAAGTCGTCCGCATGCAGCTGGGCCTTCAAATTTGATACCTAGAGAAACCAATGTAGCTTTACAAAAGGGATATGACACTTAAACTAGAAAACGGTACATGCACACGTGGACCCTCGAGTTCAAATACCTAGAGCAAACCGATGTACCTTTACAACAAGGACATGACACTTAAGCCAATGTTTGAAGTACCTGGGTTAATGTAGGAACCTGATTAAGAAGCCCTTAGCCTATAGCCCCAAAATAGTAGGGTTCATATAAGGAACCCTAATAGAGGCCCACCCAACCCTGCTTCAGAATCCATTGGAGTAGTTCTCTAAATTAGGGTCTCTTGTAGGTCTTCGAAATGATTACGGCGCCCATGTTCAAGAACCCAAACCCAGAGGGTCCAAGTACTCTCTATTGTAGGACTTTAGGGCTTTTTAGGTACCAAAAACCATGCCATAAATAATGACTACTTGGACCCTTAAGGAAAATACCCTAATCTAAAGACCGACCAGTTTGATCTTGCCCCGAGGAATCCTGTAGTATGAAGGTTTGAGTAGCTATTGAGTTTAAGACTATTGCCTATAGTTTACGAAAAGACTCCGTGAGCCTTATTCATAAGCGGCCTTGTGAAAGTCCTTCACCCCCTTATAAGATCCGCTAAGAGCAAATCTTAGGGTACTCCCTAAACCCTGGTTATAAACCGTAAACCCTAGACCCCTTTATAATTCTAGTATACCATCCCCCAAAAACCGAACCCTAGCCTAAACCCGTTTTAAATGGAGTCGCAGGGTCCAGCTTTCATAGAGGATCATGGTTACTAGGTCCCATGATCCTCTCAGCATATCCTTGTTCGCTGTAAACTGAACTTTTCAACTTTCGGGGCTCTTATAAGGTAGTCGGTTCTGAACGTTTCAACTTTTGTTGGGTTTTGGGACAGAGAGTATCCTCAGGGAGCTGCAGAGCTGCTCCTGCGACGGTTGCCCTCGATGATGGCGGAGGACGTGGCGCGTATCGAGGCAAGGGTTCGCTCTGGAGGTCCTAAGACCCTAAGCCTCTCAACACCTTAAGCCTTTAAACGGTTTAGGGTTTGCTGGTTTAGGGTTTAGCGTCTACCGATAGGCACCATTGTGGTTCCTTTTGGGGATTACCTTATAGACATGAACCCCGCAAAAGGAACTACCATGGAGCCTATATGGGTAAACCCCAAGCCCCTAAACCCGTCAACCCCAGTGGGTTTGAAGTTTAGGGTCCTCTGAAGCCCTAGACCCCGGAACCCTAAACCCTAAACTCTCCAGACCCCTAAGGCCTAAACACAAAGGCTCACTCTACGGTCCAAAGGGCCGGGCATATTCAAATTACTTGGGTTTAGCATATATAGTTGGTTGTCAAAAATAAGGTCCCTATTTGCATGCCCTAAATAGTAGGTGCCGTATTATAACAAGGACCCCAAAAAAGGACCCTATCATTGACAACCACCCATATAGTAGTTCTATAGGTAAAAATTGGGGGGGGGGGGGGGGGGGGAGTACATGGTCATATAATACAGAGTTCTATAAAGGAACCCTTCAGGGAGCGCCGAATTCCGTAAATCTGTGGAATCGGCGTGGAACATGGCGAACGTTCGCATCCAAGAGATGGAACAAAAGATTTCCTTCGCAGTTGACGAAGACATTGATTGTCGAGTCAACTATGGGTTCACCTCTAAGCACAAATTTGGTGATTAAACGTACAAGAGTTGAACTACGACAACATACCGACGATCGAGGAAGCCCGTGATCGTAACAAAAGTTGTCGGCAACTGGAGAGGCGCATCATTTGTCTTCGCATGGGGAAAGGAAATTTCGTCAATGATGCCAGTGGGGTTGACACAGATAACGGCATCCTCCTTTTGATTTTTAAAAATTTGATCCGGCGGGAGGAGCTCTCTGCTTTCATAACTTATGCCATGAGGTGACCTCATTTCTGCGGGAATACTGCCTTCCTTTTTCAAACTAACATCATTGACGGAGTCCTTGGGCATGATCAACAAGCTAGCCTGTGTTCATGCAGATCTTGCTCGTGATACAAACTGGTTGGCTTCGCGTCTCGCAGGTGGCAATGCGGCACCTCCTGGGGAGGATGTGGATGATGTGGACGAGTTCCATGAACTGGTCATTGCTGCTCATTCGCAGACGCCTTGGAAGCGAGTATTGAAGGAATACCTCATCCACACGATCGAGATCATTTAGGAGCTATACACTCATCAAAGGGAAGGCGCACCAAACTTTCCTATCTTATTCAGGTAGTTGGCCACACCGACGTGATCTTGCTGAAGCAAGTGGATCATAGTTGATTCCACAAGCTCCATATCGGTTGGACGAAACTGCGATCGGCCATGGATAATCACGGTGGAGCTGACCAGTATGACTTTGACCGAATGGGGAATACCCTTTGATCTTCTGCATATGCAGGAGAAGTGGGCAGGGGCAGCCTTCCACCACGATGCACCGATTCTTCGACAGAACAAAACCCTCGTAGAGGAACTTGAGTGCTATGGGACGTACCAGTGAACTTCGTGTGCACGTCAAGGTCTTTGGCTATGTTCAGACGAACAGCGACCGTCGACAAGATCTATTGGAAGCCTACATCGCGCGGCATCGTCGAGATGGACTTGTCAGTGATCATTTCTCCAGCATCGAGATCGCATACTATAGACAATCGCATTACCGTCGCCTTCTGTCTCGGAGACCCTCTGGTCAGAAGCTCACACGTGACACACGATTCTTTGCCTTCGGCTCCCACTGTGCGGAACTGGATGCTCCTTGATGCCATCCCCGCCTCTTGGTCTGGAAGCTAAATACGAAAGTCAGGGCTTTGGGATGAGGATAAGTTCCCTATGCTCGGCAAAGTCGTGCAGTTCTACGGGCACTGGAGACAAGATGCCCTGCTTGCTCTCGCTATGTGATAGGTACAGCGTGCCAGTGTGGTGTTGCTGAAGATGCCGGCTGCGAGGGTGTTCACGGATCTATATGAAGATCGACCCAACCCAGAATTCAGTCGGCTCTCCGCTCTCTTGTCCTTTGAGGCGACCGCTTCTGCACATCATGTCCGAGCATGTCAACCACGGCAACAATGTTGACTCGCAAGGATCCTGTGCTTTGGAAGATCCAACGGGCTAGCCTGGAAGGGCCAGAGTGCTCCACTCCCCAAGACTCACAATTCTTGGAACAAGTCAATTGATCGAGATGGACACCCTCAAACGAGAGTCTGATCGTCCATATTGGATCGTCCATCAAGCAGCTGCAGGTGGCGGACATTGGAGCGGCATCAGGTTCATGAAATTCATGGGTGCTGCAACGGTGTGTATGCTGTAGACACGGAATCCAAGCCTTCTCTCAGATCGTGTCCTCCTTGGAGAGTTTATCTTGGCTTCGTGTTCAGACTCTTGCGCAAGGTGTCGCTGTGGATCACCACGAGAAGCCTATGATCTCCGTGGATCAGGGCCCAACAAACGACCGGCATCGCAAGCCTCTATGACAAAGAAGCCGGCTGGACATAGTCTCCTTGACAAAGTAATGTAATGACAGGATTATAATACATGTCTCTGCTCAGGTCGTATCCTCAGAGTGACCATTGCTCGGGCGTTAGCTCAGTTACTCAGTTGTTGTGGCTTGCAGTGATTGAAGTGGTTGTGGCGGTGTGTACTCCTAATATATGCTGATATCAAGACAATTTGGTGTTGAAAACTTCGAGAAAAAGATTGTATTCCTCGAAATACGCTCCGCTTCAGCGTACCAGTCCCTACACAATGCGGGCCCTAAGTCAGAGAATGACCCACCAAACCCTAAACTTTAAGCCCCGAAACTCTCTAGCCTTAAACATTTATGTTCTAGAGTACTACCAAGATAGGCTTCCCTTCGTCAGGCGCAGATTGCCACCTTTGTCAGACATCCACTCTTGGGAGGCATTTGTTCAAGGGTCTTTTCGGCCGAGCATTGACATGTCCACACGTTCTACCCAAAACTTTTTTTGTTTAACCGTTTGAGGTTTTAGGATCAGGGTGTCGTTTTAGGTTTTTGGATTGAGCGGTTGAGATGTGTAAAGACCAACATTAACGGTGTGGGATCTGGGACATGGGACATTTCTCAGATTGTGTCGGTGCCTTTTTCCGTGGTGGACGTCAGCCATGACAGGTTTCTGTAGGGTTTTAAGGTTGAGGTGCTTGTCTGAGGTCCGTATGTTGATCAGTTGGATTTGTTTGACGCCAGGCATCTTGACCCTAAATTCCAACCCGCAAACGCCTCGGGACCGTGCAGACCACATCGGGTTTCTTTTAATCTTGATTATATCCAAGAGTGCATAGCACTTGGAATGGGTGGAAGTGCTTGAATGGCATCAAATATGCAGAATTCCCCGGCGTTGACCGCAAAACCCTTTTGAATCCCAAACCTTCGCAGCTTTCCAGACCCCAAACCCCAAACGCCCAAAACCCTTAAATAGAAACCGAAGCCTTAAGCCTCGAAATCCAAAGCCTTCAAGCTCCTACGCCACCAAAACCTTAGAGGCGTAAAACCCCAAAAGCCCGCCAGACCTTCCAAAATCCCTTGCTAAAGGAACTAAAAGATACCAGAAGTTAGAGTAGCCTAATTCGCTTTAAGGCGTGTTTCAAGGGATGCTGGAAAGTTTGGGTACATGAAGGTACGCCATTTAGTGCCCTCGGGAAAGTTTATGGATTAGGGTTTAAGGTGCCCTTATTCTACCTTAGAGTGCTTTTAGTTTTATGCTATGTATAGTGCCCCGTATGAAAAAAAACGGTGTGCCTAACCCTAAACCCTAAACCCCAACCCCCTAATACCCTAAACCTTAAACCCTAAACCCTATAAGCCCTGCACCTTAAACCCTGGTAGGCTGGCTGCCCAGCAACCCGGCCGCCGCTGGGGCCGTGCTCAGCACAGCGCGACTGGGAGAAAGGACATGGCTAAAAGCCTTGGGCCCTAAACCCCTAAACCTTAAATATCGGTTTAAAGCAGAACTCTCAAGTCCCGAGGAAGGCTTAATCTGGAAATCCAGGACCTTAAACCCCCAAAACCCTACATCCATATAACTTAGGGACCCAAAAAGCACATAAGCATAAGCATTTTATGGGGATATCCCTATCATATTGGGCTTCAGTATATTGGGGTTTATATGGGATATCCCTATCCTAATTGTTGCTTATGTGCTTTTTTGGGGGCCCTAGTAACCTTAACCAAGCCCTAAACCCTAAACCAACCCTCGGTTTGAAGCAGAACTCTCAAGTCCCCACCCTAAACCCCAAGACTAGGTAGGGCTTTGGGCCATTTTATATTTTCCCTTATTGGGCTTAAAAGGATCTTATTTACTAATATTTTTCAAAGGCTCTAAAAGCCCCACCTAGTAGACCAGGAAGGCCCAAACCAGAAATCCAAGACCTTGTACCTATACACCCATAAGCCGTACCCACAGGCTCCATAGCAGTTCCTTTTTGGGATTAGCTTGTAGGATTGTAAATATGAATCCAAAACAGGAACTACTATGGATCCTCTAGGTAAGCACCCCTAAGCTTTACAAGACCTTAAGGCCTCAACCCGGCGCCCCCACATTGGATGAAGGATTCAGGCTTCGAAGCCGCAGCTCAAAAACACTTCCAACCTTGACTCCAAGACTACTATCTGCCAACTCTTGACTCAAAGATCCTACATGAAGTTGGGCACACTATGCTTCCCTTTTCGCGACAGTTAGAAAAGCGAGTGTGCAGCCGCCCCAAAATGAAGACCCTATACTTATTGGCTGTAAACTCATCTTGTCAACTTTTGAGGCTCTTATAAGGCAGTCGATTCTGAAAGTTTCAACTTTAAGTTTATTTGGTCTTGAGCCGTTGTGCCGATAAGAAGGCTGAGAGCACCCCATGAACAGACTCACACAGCCTCAGTAAGACCCATAACACAGAAACTAACCTGCCATCAGAACACTGATACTTTTTTCTGGTTATAGTACTACTCGGGGGCTCTTAGGACTTTAATTTTTTGGTTTCTATATGAACTATAATAAGGTGGCCAAAAGTTTAACTTTTAGGAGGGGTTCAGAAGTCAGCCAAGACTAGATTATACCCCGAAGTCCGATCCTAACCATCCTTGACACTAAATTACATGCTAAGGCCTCCTAGAACCCCATTCCAAGCACTAACCCCGAAACCATAACATAAACCCTTAACTCATAAACCCCTAAGCCATATATGGGAGTTTCCGAAAATAGGGACCCTAATATAGTACCCTAACTAGTAGGATCCTTGTTATCAAGACCTCCAAGTAAGGTACCCCTAATTTTGGAAACTCCCATATTGCATCAAGCGGATTTCTGGCAAGCTCAGGCTCACAGAGATTTGCGAGACAAATGGCAGGGTCGTGCCGGGAGGCAGGGGATGGCTTCAGGCTAAACTGTATCACATAGTACAGCATAGTATAGTGTATTATTCAACACAGCTGAACCGAATACAACTATAGCATATGATAGTTTAGGATATTGCAACAAAGTATGATGTAATCGAAGGGAATAAGATGTGCTATCGTAGAATATACTGTAAAAACTGCCACCAGGTTCCATCTTATCCTTGTATCACCTAAATGTGCTACATCATCATTACCCCCAAAGGCCTACAGATGTTTGCAAAGGGGCCCGATATAACCTTGTCCAGGGGGCTTTGCCGAGCTGGACGACCCCTTGATTTTGGCACTGTCGCTTCGCTTCAGCGTGAAAGGTTAGGCCTTTGGAGAGTGTAAACCGGATTCAGCGCTCAGTTATAGTCTCCATTCGAGTTCCTTTTTTTGGTTCAACCAATTATATGTTAAGGATCCTGAAAGTTAACCCAAAAAAGGAACTACAATGCAGACTATAGGCAGGTTATGGTTTTCATTGATTCTGCCGGGTTTCGTGTCGATGTAGGCAGCTTCGACTTGGCAATGTTCAGGGCTCGGACCATCGCCTTAAACCCTGGGACGCTACTGGCTGATCGGAAAAGGGCCGTCTAAAAAACACACACACGCACACAGAGACTAAACCACTAAAGTCTTAAAGTAAATCCGAAATCTGCTTTTTCCGTCGACAAAGCACCCGAAGATGCCCGTGGACAAAGTCTTAAAGTAAGTTTAAAGAGCACGAGAGTTTGGCTTTCGGCTTCCGACTTTGGGTGCCTGGCCTCATGGGTAGTTCTCTAACTTAGGGCCCCTTGTGGGTCCCCAATATAGTCTGGCGCCCTTCCAACAAGGACCCTACATTAGAGAACTACCCTGATATTCGGGCACTTGAACAACGGGGGCCTCTCAAGCACGGTTTGCAAGAGGCACCCAGGAATTTGTGCTGCGCCTGTCCCGCGCCCTCAGTGCCCCGGCGCTATAGCTTCAACTTCTGTAGTCTATCCAGAGAGACTGTGACTCCGTAACTGAGCATTTTGAACAATATACCTTAGGTCACACATGGAGGATCCCTCTGTAATGCGCAAATCCATGACATCCCAGAGACATCCCAGGATCGATTCCGGCCTGTTGACGCCGAAGTGGCAGCCGGAAGCAAGGCGCGCACTTCGTCGAATCGTGTGTTGAAGGGTGTTGCACGTGGCGTTAGAGGCTCTTGCTGACGATGTTCCAACTACGCTGACAGGGCCGAGGCCGACTCACCCGTCCCCCGTAAGGCCTCAGGCAGCATATGGGTAGTTCTCTAAATCAGGGTCCCCCTTTAATCCTCTATAGATCCCCAATATTAGTGCGGCAACTTCTAAAAAGGACAGATAAAGGGACTCTAATTAAGAGAACTATCCATATCCTAAACCAGTCAGAAACCAGTTTTCAAGCCAGCCCAAACCCTCACTAAGATCCTAAGACTAAGGCCTGAACCCCCCCGACACCCACAGCCTGAGCCCTCAAAACCGTAAAGTTTGAGCAAAATCCCGGCAGAATCTTACTAAGCCCGAAATTTCCTCGCAACCCGGGCCGTAAGCATGGCTGCGGGGAGGTTGGTACTGCCAAGCCAGCTGGCACGCTCAATGCTTGCAGCCGGGCAGAAGACATCCCGAGCCCTCAACCCCAACTAGGACCCAGAGTAAGCCCGCATTCCTTCTTTTTAATAAATTTACGTTCTCTTATAACACCCTTTAACCCAAAAAGGGCACCCTTTTTATTCCAAGGTTACTCTTGGGTAAGTTTGCCTGGCTCGCGCCAAGTTTTGTTGTTCTCTTCTTGGAAGCTGTCAGACCTTCTAGATTTGAACACTCGAGTACATGGTAGTTGTAACTTTGTGATACGTTGACCGATTGAAGGTTTGGCATTGAGGGGGTGAGGAAGTTTACGGCTTGCAAGGAGTGTCTCTAAACGGCCATTCAAGCTTCTACCTTCAACTAGATTCCTCAGTAGCTGAGTGAGCACACTTTACACTTTCTAGGATAATGTGATCTCTTACAGAACTGAAAGTATACACATTTTGGGGGCTTATCAACTCAGCGACTAGGAATAAATTGGTATCGGAGTCTTAAGGGGCTGTAGCCAGAGACTCCATGCGATTCAATGTTTTCGGGAATGTGAGATTTGGAGTCTGTAACCCTATACCCTTTTGGGTTCACGTGGCGACAGTGTGAAGTCGCGAAACAAAGAGAGATGCAGCCCCAATCCTCAAAAGCCCCAAAAAATCTCAGATTCCTGAAGTATCTGATGAATCCAGAATGATACTTAGAGGATCATTGGACTTAGTAAGGAGGTTTTAATTGGGGTCATAAGTCCCCTAAGTGGGGTTATCCAAGTTACAACCTACTTACAACCTTACTTACTAAGTCCCATGAGGCTTTAAGTAATCAAGATCCTGCGCTAACTTCCAGTGTGTTGTTGGTATTGAGGATCTCTCCACAGCCCAAGGTACCCAGAGACTGCAATATCCCTGAATTTGGGAATATGCCTTAATTTATAGCAGGAGCCCTCATATGATTCATATGTTTTAAGGAACATTCCTAGGGATAGTGGAGGTCCCTAAACCCTAAACCTTTTGGATCCTTTGTAGATCCCTTAACGGAAGTCGAGGTCTTCTTAGCTAAGGGATCTTGGAGTCTTTGGGTAGATGGCTTGATGATTGGTTTCTGATCCCTGGAGATCAGGAGGTTCGTTGGTTAATCAAGACCGAAGCCCTGACCCCGACGACCTTAAAACCCTAAAGTAAAGCCTACAGTAGAAGCCCAAAGCCTCGATCCTTAAGAGCAATGTATAGGGAATCCCAGCACTATTTGGCCTAAATCAGGTTTCCAACTTTATGGGGTTTACTGTAAACCGTGGCACCCAACACATAAACTTTAAGTACGAGCAAGGGCTTTCGGAGTTTCTGGGACTGAGGCCGCATGGGCTGAAGCTCATTGTGCTGAGCTGCCGCTCATGGACTGGATTGCTTGCAACTTCCGCTTGTGGTGGCAGAAAAGCACTCAGGGTTCAGGGTTTTGGGATGTTTGTTTGGATATGGGACTCTGGGGTTTAGGATGTAGGGTTTTAGGGTTGGGGACTTCATGGTTTGATGGCATTTAGCTTTGCTTTAAAATAGGGCAGGGGTTGGAATGGCAAAGGAATGATCTGTTTCGCTTTGGGCCCCGCCATCCTAGCCGTCCTAAAGTAAAAGCCAGAAAGTTGGAATATGATTATCCTAAACCCTTTATGGTAAATTATAGGATAGCCTACCCTGAAACCATATTCCAACTTTCTGGAGTTCCCTTTAAGAATCCCACTCGAATAATTCCGACCATCAAAATGAACCCAAAGAAACTTTCAAAAGCCATATTTTGAGTAGATAGGCTCCTAGTCTGAACTTTGCAGCCCAACACCCCAACCCCAAGCACCGAACTACCCTTAACCCCAAAACCCTAAAACCCTAAAGCCCTTAACCCGAGCCTACCAGGACCCTCCTTGCACCCTCCTTGGTCCCAAATAAGGGGCATTTAGGGTCTAATAGAGGGTAGATGGAGGGTCTAGGTAAAGCCTTATAGGCCTGAACGAGCTACCTTACTTACTAAGTCCCATGATCCTCCAAGTAGGATGCCCAGTACTACGTACCCGTATTCCCTTTTTGTAGTCCTAGGGTCGTTATATAAAGTTACCCAATACCAACAGGGAGCCCTTTTTATTCCTAGGACTGCATCCTAGCCACGCGGAGACTCTAAAGCCCGAGTCTATCTATGCTGGCTTTTCATGGAAGGAGGCTGCCACCCCCTCAAAACCCCAAACCCCTAAGCCCTCAACCTTAAAACCCTAGATTTTTATACCCCTAGACCCTCGAACCCCTAAACCATCAAACCCTTCAACCCCGAAACCATCAAACCCTTAAGCCCCTAAACCATTGAACCCTTAATCCCTAAACTCCAACCCCCAAAACACCCCAAAGCCCGCTTTTGAAGAGGCGCCTGGTGGAGGAGTCCTTAGATGCCGATGAGGTGCCTTCAAGTCTGGGCCTGAGGGCTTAGGGCGTAAGGGCTTCTGGGTTTAGGGTTTAGGAGGGTTTAGGGTTTAGGGTTTAGGGTTTAGGGTTTATAGGGTTTGGCGGCGACATACGCCAGGGATAGGCTGTTCCTCGGCGCTGCAAGCTTGCGGCCTGATTCTGCGCGACTGCAACATTCCATAAGCATGCGAGCCATCCCATGCCCCATATAAGTCTCCATGTACCCATATAGCAGGTACGTAGGCCTTAAAAGGGGCTCCTACACCTAATACAGGAATCCCTTTAAAACTCTGATTCCTAAGTATACTATCTTGGCACATGGAGCCTGAGGGAAGCGCTGTTGGTGATTTCTCCCAAACTGGAGCCTATCGCCCGCACTTTCCCGCCGGTAGAGGGCTGAAGGCTTTGAAGACAAGCTAAGCCCCAAACCTTAAACCTAGGCCCCAGACCCGAAACCCTAAGCCCTAAACCCTAAACCCCAAACCCGATTCAAAAAAAAGAACCCAAACCCTAAACCATAAGCCCTAAACCTAAGCCCTAAGCCTATAATGCGGCACCTTGCAAAAGCCGTTGGAGCAAAGAGTCTCGTAGCGCGAAGCACCTCATAGCCCAAATCATCGAGCACGGCACGTGAGCAGTGGTTTCATCTGATCACCTAATAAAGCTGCATCATCTATTCATCCAACATATGGGTCTAAACCCTATACGTAGATTTTGGAGACCCGAAGACCGTACTGGATGAGGGTTTTGGGCGATTGTGCGAAGATAATCATAGGGACCCTTCGGGGGATCGGGGGGAGGGGGTAGGGGACTATACATCCTTAAATAGGCCTTTGCGCGGCGTCCCCGCCCTAAGATTCCCTGTGAGATAAAGGTCTTCAGGGCTGCATGGTTGAGAGTTGAGGGCAGAACACTGAAGAGCTTACGCACGGCTGGAGTCAAGGGGTTCATACAATCTTTGGTCGGAAAATGTCGGAAAACTTTTAGGGTCGAAAGCATAGAAAGCCCACGGCCGAGGGATCGATTGCATCTAGTGAGCCCCGGAGTGCCTTGATTTCCGGTGTCCGAAAGCTTAAACCCTAAACCCGAAACCGTTTTCTGTGCGAGGCGGGCTACTCGAGGCATGGCCTCCTCTTCAAAAAAACCAGAAACTAGCCTACCCATGGGCCCCATACTAGTTACTAGTTCCTTTTTGGGCTTACCTTTTCGGATTCCAAATATAAACCCCTCAAAAGGGACTACTATGGGGCCTATGCGTAAACCAGAAAAGTCAGACGGTCACGAACTGCGGCTGAGGCCTGCGGACGCGCATGCTGCAGCTACTGGGCCAGCTCCCTACAAAGGCTTGTTTTTGCGAATATGAGGGACCCTTCTATAGCACCCTAAATAGTAGTTGGGATCCTTATCACAAGGACCCCAAACAAGGTACCCCCAATTTTCGGAAACTCCCACAAATCAGCTTTGCTTGCGGGCAGTTAGTAGTGGAGCTGATAGTGTTTTAAATCCCCGTGTACTCAGAGGATCATGGGACTCAGCAACTAGAGTTATAAGTACGGCAACTATACTTATAACTGCTTATGACCCCAATTAAGGTACTTATAACCTTACTTACTAGGTCCCCTGATCCTTTAAGTAGGTCCTGGCCATGATCACCACCACGGCTTTCATCCTCTCCATGCTCATGAACGTTGTCGTCGGAAGCGCCACCATCATGGCCAACATCAGCATCACGGTCACCATCATCCCCGCCTCCTGCTCCACCCCCTTGTCGTTCTCTGCCTCTACATCTTCTTTTCTCATGAGTGACTTGTTGGTTGGATTCGTGATTCGCTGCACGCCATCCGGAGGCCTTGAACCTACTAGGGTTGCTTCACGTAATGATACCCTATTCTAGGACTTCGATCAGGCCCCTATACTACCAAGCACACACATTAGGCACAGTGTGGAGGCTGTAGGCGTACTGTAGAGAACCACAGAAAGTTTGAGGGGGACGTGGAGATCCATTCAATGAGGATCATCCTGTTAAGGGTTCATATTCATCTGAGGGTGCCTCATTCCCCGAGACTCACATACGTGTTATGCTTTGGGGATGCTAATTGTCCCGTACTGGACCGGGGGCATTGAAGATGCTTCCATCCTTCCCGAAAAACCCTAAACCTGCTTCCAGTCTGACTTTCTCGCAAGGGAAAAAGGCCCGGAGAAACAAAAACCTGCTGTCACCCGACCAAACACCCTAAGATCTAAAACCCTTCTTCCATCCTGCCGAAGAAAAGGATGTTGGGGGTTAAGGGGATACGGAGTTAACGTTTTAAGGGGGGCCCAGACCTTCGAAAAGCCCTGACTTAAGGAAGATACCTTAACTCAACTTTAGTAGGGATCCTATGTTAACTTAACGTATGGTATATTTCTTGATTATGGGATATAAATCACCTCTATTGGAGATCCTCTTACAATTTATAGTAGAAGCCCAAAAGTTGGAGCATGGATTTAGGAGGATTAGTGCTAGGATCCCTTATACTTTACCTCAAGGGCATGGGGATATAATGATGTTCCAACCTTCTGGCTTCTCCTTTAAGGTATATTCCTTAATTAGGGGATCTCGGAAGTCTGAAGGTTTGCGTTCTGTAGTATATGGGAGTTTCCGAAAGTTAGGGGTACCGTATTTGGGGGTCCTTTTAATAAGGATCCTACTATCTAGGGTACTATATTAGGGTCCCCTATTTCGGAAGCTCCCATATAGGCTTATGGGGCTTTGGGATGTGGGTTCAGAGCTCAAGGATTTATGGGTTTGGGGTTTACGGTTCAGGGTCCAGGCGTTGAGGGTTTAGGGTAATGTAGGAACCTGGTTAAGAAACCCTGGGCCTATATCCCCAAAATAGTAGTATTCATCTAAGGAACCCGAATAAAGGCCCAAGGTTTCTTAATCAGGTTCCTACATTAGCCCACAACATATGAGACCTTCCGACACCAAGGCAACGAGAAGATCGGATTCTTCTCCCTGATCGACCAGTTGGTGCGGCCCTGAGCTCACAGGGGGCAGGGTTTGTGAAAGCAGGCCAGTGTCATAGATTTCTGGGCCTCCGAACACTCAAGCCCTTCAGCCCGAGATGGGGGTTTCCGAAAATAGGGGTACCTTATTTTGGGGTCCTAATAATAAGGATCCCATTATGTAGGGTACTAGATTAGGGTCCCCTATTTTCGGAAGCTCCCATATGTCTACATCTACAAGAAGTAGTAGTCGTCGTGGTGGTGGTGCTGGTGCTAGGGTTGCTGGTCGTCGCTCGTCGTGGTAGTGATAGTCGTCGTGCCCGTCGTCGTCGTCACAGCCAAAACTGCTTGTCTTCGAGCGCAACGAGAGAGTTCGTAGAGCCACCCGAGTTCCCGAACTCCTGTCTAGAAGCGGAAATCTACTCGAGTTGCAACAGGTCCATATGGATCGTTGCTGGGGCGGCCAGGACAGGAAACGTTCTGTTTGCCAACCCCGTGATCACATCTACATATACATGTAGACATGCAGACGCAGCTACATAAGGCTATTTACAGATAGTCACACACACACACACACGTCCACATGCATCCAGTCGGGCAACAAGTCATTCGTCTCTAATGCTCCTCTCTTGGCGTATCAAATTTGGTGATTCGCATGAGTTTGGTGGCGTCCTCGTTCCAATGATTTATACGTACACCCAAATTCGCCGGTTGCATAGGAACGTTTACAGGTTGTGTGCATGCATGCATGCATGGAAGGAGGGAACGAAGGATGGATGGATGGATGGATGGATGGATGGATGGATGGATGGATGGATGTGTATGTGGGCACCCAATCTATCTACCATCTATCGATCGATGTATCTAGATGCTTGTATGTGTGTCTTTATATCCATATGCATACATACATATGTATATGTATGTAACTATAAGTGTATACACACACAGGTTACAGCTATATAGTTAAGATACTGCTGTCCTCATCGTAGTATCTAAGCTGTAGGAGCGTAACGGGAGCTCAGCATTGCAGGAAATGGCATGACGAGCGCCCCAGCCTGACCGTGACGTGCAAGTGTCGGGACCCCATCCTAAGCCCGAAATGTAGGGTTCAAGGGTTTAGGGTTTAGGGTTTAGGGTTCAGGGGAATCGGCATGAACCGCTTCCGCAGCTAGGAATGTACTGATACTGAAATGGGTGCATGGCCGCACAGAGGGGATCTCTCGTTTGGAGAACACTCTGCAGCGGGCTAGCACACGCATGTCGCTTTGACTCACGTCGAAGCGGTATGCGCGTGCGTGCATGAACCGGTAGCGCAAGGTTCTGCACCCACTAGCTTCCCCAGTCGTGCCCCTTGGCCTGTTGTTTTTGTTATTAGTTTTAAATTATCAATGGCCTTTGTTCAGATCGTATAGTAGGACAAACCGTAAGGGTCCAAGTACCGAGCTATCATAGATTTTCCACATAATATTGGGTCCTCTTTGGACCTAGGGCCCTTGTAAGTCAGGGGATGCTGGGGAGCCCACTTAGAGGATCATGGGACTTAGTAACTAGGGTCATAAGTAAGGTAACTATACTTATAAGCACTTAGAACCCCAATTATTGTACATATGACCTTACTTACTAAGTCTTATGATACTCCTTATAAATCCCTTTCAGGATCCTTACTTACTAAGTCCCATGATCCTTTAAACACGCCCACAGAGCGCCTGTGTCACCCTGTGTCACCGCCCGTCGACCCAGAGCCTTTGCAGAGAGCCGCTGGGGTTCCAAGGCTTAAAGGACTTAGTAGGTAAGGTTATATAAAGGGCTCCTTAAAGGGATCCTTAAAGGGATCTATGAGGGTACTATAAAGGACTTAGTAAGTTTGGCCTAGGGTTCCTTAAAGGGCTCCTTTAATTAAGGGATTTATCAGGGTTTTCTATAAGGATTCTACAAGGGTTTTGGGAGGTGCTTAGAGGATCCCTACAAAGCACCAGACGGTTTAGGGTAGGGTTTAGGGTTCTTGGGGGTTCCTTGGAAGGGCGCAGGGAGCTATGCTTGGAGGATCATGGGACTTAGTAAGAAAGGTTCCGTGAAAGGTTCCTTTAAGGGACCTACAAGGGTTACCAGGTTCCTTAAAGGGTTCCTTTAAGGGACCTACAAGGGTTACTATAAGGATTCCATAAGGGTTTTGGGGGTACTTGGAGGATCATGGGACTTAGTCAGTAAGGTTATATGTACCTTAATTGGGGTTATAAGTAGTTATAAGTATAGTCACCTTACTTATGGTTCCAATATGGGAGATTCCGAAAGTTAGGGTACCTTCTTTTGGGGTCCTTATAATAAGTATCCTATGATTTCGGGTACTGTATTGGGGTCCCCTATTTTCGGAAACCCCCGTCTGAAACAGCTCGCAGACATTATCCCCCTGCATCCTTACACTACTGTACCAGCCGCTACATTCATGTGCCTTTCAATTTTTGCAGTTCTCTCCTGTCTATATGGAAGGTCTACCTCTGAGCATGTAGGACGGATCTGCAAGAAGACTAGGTCAATCACCCGGTAGTCTTGAAACCTTGTTGCATGTGCCTTCAAAACTTTTCTTTCAACGCGAACCCGCTCATATGGAAGCTGGAAGCAGGAACTTGCGCGCCAACTCCTGCTAAGACTCGAATTCCCGGCAGTGTTGCGATCACGAGCAGACACTGGTGCCGAAAAGGTAGCTGGGGTTCGTGTTTTTACTACTTTCCTGAAGGGTCTGCAGGTCTTTCATCGGAGCGTGATGACATGTGATGATTTTGTGTTGGGTGTGCGGTCCTCGTGTTTCAGGATACCCAAGCCTTCCCTCAATGTGCAGCAACTAAACCTTGACTCGAGCTCCTTCCAGACATCTGGTTCACTGCATCCCCAACCAACCATGGCGGTCGGCCGATTTGGAGGCATTTTTATAGGGGTTCTACTGAAATGCTTCGGCTTGCTCAAGTATGGCCATCGTGTTGATGATGTGGTGCTGCTTTTTAGTGCGTATATGTTCAGGAAACTCTGTGACGCATCTCTTATCAAGGATTGCTATTGCCGTTACGGTGGGCTCAAATGTGCGGACGGACCCGCAAGAGACTGTGTGGCCAACTCCCGCAAGCACTGGATTGCAATTCCGGATCTACTTGGATTTCTGCATGACGGAAAAGGGTGAGATGTAGCCGATAATTCTGTACAAGAATGTGTACTTCAATGTAACATGGCCAAGTAGGCTCGACAACTCCCAAGTTGTTCAATCGCCTAGTATGCCCAGGCCTAGGCTAGCTAGGCTTCTGGATGGGACTTTCCGAAAATAGGGGACTCTAATATGGTAACTAAATAGTAGGATCCTTAGTATAAGGACCCCCAAAATAAGGTACCCCGTAAAATTCGGAAGCTCCCAGATCCTTTGCTGCAACAAACACAGCCACGATGGCAGGGCCTCCGCCCAACGGCGATGCACAGGACCCGCAATACAGCCGGATTAGTATGATGAGCGTAACGTGTTTGCCTATACCTGGAGGCTCATACCCTACCCCTTTTTTAGGGCGCCTACTTTTTAAGATAACAGATCCCAACCATAAAACTAGGTATCCTAAAAAAGGAGCAGGGTATGAGCCTCTAGGTAAACCCCATTATGGCTGGAAGTCGATTTTGACTCCGGATTTAAATCCTATAAACCCTGAACCCAGAGATCCCCAAAACCGTGGATCGAAACACCCAAAGCCCAAGAGCCTAGGCCTAGGACAGGGTTCGGGGCTTCAGGCTCTTGTAAGTAGGGACCCAAAAGCACATAAGCATAAGCTTTGTATGGGGATATCCCTACCTTATTGGGCTTCATTATAAGGAGTTTGTATGGGATATCCCTATCCTAATTTTTGCTGATGTGATTTTTTGGGGCCTTATATAAGGGCCCAGGCCTGAATTTTGACGACCATCGGCAGACTGCTGCCGAGATCCTCTGTGTTTGTTTTTCGTAAAGTTCCCCGAAGTGTTGAAAGGCACTATTTCACCCTAAAGCCTAAACCTTAAACCCTAAACCCCTAAACCCTAAGCCCTAAGCCGGTAAGATTCGTTCGGAAGCCTCCAGGCCATCGGCAAGTTGCGGAACGACCTGGACGGTGCCATTGGCGTCATGCACGGAGACCCAGAGACTCCAATTTCCCTTAAGTAAGGAGTACCTAGACTTCCGTTAAGGGGTCCTGTGATCTACGATGAGGTACTATGGTATACCAAGATATACTAAAAATATTATGATTATAAACCCTTATATAGCTGTAAGCCAGGAATCAACGCTGCTGTTGCAATCCTCAACCTGAAGCCCTTACAGTGCAACCGCGAGCTAGGGTTTACGGTTTGGGGTTACTAGGGTTTTGGTCTATTTGTTTTAGAGTCTAGTGTTTGGGGTTATTCTTAGATCCCCAATACCCAACCTTTTAACCTTCTCGGTTCTTGTAGTTAGTAGGATTCGGAAAGTTTAACCTTTAATTCTGTGGCTTTCTGGGGTAGTAAGTAACTATTGGGTTTAGAGTCTAGGGTTATGAGGGTTTACCAGGACAGGAAGGTGCCCTTTGCTAGAGGTCATACGGTCCTTGGTTCTCCAGGCTGTATTACTTAAAGGATCATGGGACTTAGTATGTAAGGTTGTAAGTACCGTAATTGGGGTCATAAGGACGGAGAGGAGGAAGCTGCTACGGCCGAGACCTGCTTCGGGGCATGCAGCATACCTTCGCAGCCTCCAGTCACAATCTTCCAACTCTTTTGCTGCGCTGCCTACGGAGTAGTAGATGAAGGATCTGCACTGCCGATGGAGATAGAAAGCAACTCATGGAGTTGGACAAGAGCAGGCCCTCTCGTGACCCGAGAGCCCACGACCTGGGTCCACCAGATCGACTTTACCAGACTCCCGGAATACCCCAAATACCTCGAGTTCGAAACCGTGGCGGACCTCGACAAGGAGGCTGTGTCTGCCCAGATCTGCGCCCAGCAACCACCAGACCTGTCTCCCCAGACTATCTTCCCAGAATTCTCGCCAGACCTGTCTTCTAAGACCCTGTCAGGTCCCCGGCCAGACCATCGCGGAGGCAATGCAGATCCTTCGTGAGTCGGAGAAAGGCTCATGGATCCTGCCGAACTTGCAAGATGTGACGAGCATGCAAGCCTTACGCATGAGGCTCGGATCGACTCTGGCCTTCCTGAGCAAAAACTGGCTGTTGTCCTCCGTGGAATTCTCGCCAGAACTCTGAATTCTCGCCAGACTCGTCTTCCCAGAATTCCCGCCAGACCTGTCTTCCCAGATTAGTTACCTTACTTATAACTCTAGTTACTACCTCCCATGATCCTTTAAGTAGAGGGTACCCAGGGGGGTCCAGGTAGGGTTCAGGGTTTGGGGTGTATTGGGTTGTAGGCTGTAGGGTTTGCTTTTGGGTTTGATGAGGTTTTATGGTGCCCTTATATGGGTGCTATAGGAATTTATCTGGTCTTTATGAGCCCCTAAGCAACCTCAACCCCCCCATGGGAGGCAAAAGCTCCGAGAAAATCAACTCCGAATCACCGAACTCAGGAGCCCAAAGCCCGGTATCATCAGAAGACCCTTATTGTAAACCTTACCCGAACCCCACAAGTATGTAGAAGAATAAATAGCCTTCTATAGGTGATGGGCCATCATTTACCCTGCATGTGGGGGGTTTAGCCATAGTTTCCCCACAAAGTAACAGTCAACCGTAAAGTCATGGAATCCACCTTTTTCGAAATCCTTATGCCATCCCTAAATCCTGAACCCTACCCTTGTGGAAGCCGTAAACTTTATGGAATTGTGAGTGGTTCAAAACCCAACTTTTCAACTTCTGGCCTCTTATAAGGTAGTCTTATTGTGAACGTTTGGACTTTTACCCCATGGGTATCTGGGAAGTAAGAAATCTAGACCCTAATTCCTGAAACCCGACATACTCTAACTTTATGGAACCCATCCACCCCCCAATCCAAGGCGGGACAACATGCGAAGTATGGCCGAGCGCCGCTGGTCTTAACCACCCAGGGATCCCA